CCATAAATGCCTATAATGTTAAACCATCAAAACATTAATGCCCATAAATTCATCTTGTATTGGGAATCCTCATAGGACATGTACGTTTGTTGTGACCAATTTAGATTATGGGTTTACAATATTTGAAGGCCTCAATGCACTGGTGAAAGGTCCAAAATACTCGGTGAAAGACAGCCTTATCCGTATACACTCGACGTTCATCAACACATTGGTCCGTATCAATCTTGAACACAGAACCCACATTAACCTGAGTCATGTATGTCAGCCAACCAGGCAAGAATGCATACGATTTATCCCAGTCGCCAAATAACTTGACAATGGCTTTCATTTTAGCCTTCCAAGCTTTCCTGTAAGATATGTTGTATCCATACAAACGTTGTACCCTCTCTTGAATAAGAACTGGCTTCAATGATGGATCTTCTTTTAACATACCTATATAAAAAAAAACACCGACCAACAGTCAGAATACAAACTGATTAACGTAAACATACCTTAGGAAGTTAGATATATCGAATAATACATACTGATAATGGTTGCACATATCACATCAGAATCCAACTGTCTATGATCCCGGGTAAGACCTTGGTTTAGGCAGGTGTGTTCTTTAACCCACTTACTGACCACCCAAGTATTTCGATTCTTCGGCAACAATGCCCTCACATACTAGGGACATCTATCATTATGGTGTCGACACTTCATCACAAATCTATGGTCATCACTTTTTGCCACAACGGCAGTACGGTGAGCCTTCATACAATATAATTTGACTGCATGTTGCATTTCAGATTTGCTACGAAACTCCTGATACAAATATAAAGGATCTCCTAATTGCCAGCCACCGTGATCATCATCGTCACCATACAATATCTCCGTCTCATCATTAGGGTGGGCCCAATTAATGAAGGAATAATGTGAGCTTTCATTCCAAAATGGCTCGACCTCAGAACCTACGGATGCATTATAATGCCACCGTCAATACCATTGATAACAAAAATAATAATTGCTAAATTAAATCTTTAAAAAACAAATCTTACCACTGCTAACAGGGTCAACACGAAGTGGTCTCGTAACCTGCGAACCCGGGGATGGTGAGCTTGTGTCAGCGTCGAAATCACCCTCTACGTCAGTATCTGACGTGTCACCTAGCGGAATAACACTCTCAGGTTCACCGTCCTCATCGCTGTCCATATCGGCATCCTGTTCATCCTCATCTATTTCCTGTAGTGTTATCTGACTTATGACATGTGCAGGTGCAGATAAATCGACTACTCTTTCTTCATGACCAAAATACGGTTCACTTCTTGTATGCATGGGTGCAGATGAAGATTGACCACAATCTAATTCAACATATATCTCAATAAAATTTTGAAATTTTCGGTCAACAATTGCATCTATGACACATTCGACATCTTCATCATCACATATATCGTTACCAATGTAGTAAATAGCATCCTTACCAACTGTAGTCTCTACCCTGGTAATCATCCGTTGAACGCATTGGTTGCCTTGCAGACCCAATTTTTGCTGAATTCTCCCCTTTAACTCATTGTATGTAGGGCCCCGTTTGATTTTCAACATTTTCGTTTTTCCTTCAAATTGAACACCATTGGGGCCTTCATAATGCTTTCCATCATAGTAGATCATTGTCACATACATGTTTGGACTTGTACTCATCTTCCTCACAAATTGGGACTAGGGTTCTGAAATTGGGGGTTTGGGTTCGGATTTTGGGGGTTTAGAATTGGGCAATGACAATGATTTCACAATATTAGGTCTGTAGAGATGGTGGGATGAAATACAATCGGATTGAGAGGATTACACATGAACAAAGGGAGCTATTTAGGTTTACACAACAACAACAATCGAAATGAGACCGAAAACATGGAAAATATAGGATTTCAGTCGATATTTAGTCGACTAAATATACTTAGTCGACTAAATATCCCAAAAATGTAGTCGATTAAGATGATTTTTTAGTCGACTAAATTTGCTGTAGTCCACTTTCTGCATTTTGACCATTTGCTCGACTAAAAAAGCAATGTAGTCGACTAAAAGGGGGCAAGTTGGTGGATAGTTCTGGATCATGGGCAAATTGGTTATTAATTAATTAATGAGGAGCAAAAGGGTCAAAAAGCCTCATTTCCCCTGTGCAAAGGGAAGAGCAAAATATCTCTCAATTACACCTCTCTATATGCACAAAAGGAGATGGATTTACACAGTTATAAATTAAAACCATTTAAAACATATAAAAACAATGGATTTTATAAGAATTATGTTGTAGGAAAAGTGATTGTGTAATGTTATAGAGATTCGTTTTGCGTGCCATAGTTTTTTTATTTTTCTTTTTTTTTCAAAAAGTGTTGGCATCATAAAATGTTGTATGTGTAGAAAACTTTGTTGTGTCATGTTAAATGACAAATGCAAATCCCAAAAACAAAACTCATTTGATTACATCTTTATTATTTTTTTATTAATTTTATATTATATTTTTATTATTGTTTAATTTTTATAATATTTGAAACAGTTAATCACAAAAATTGATAATTTCAATTCAACGGTTTCGATGTGACATAAATGCATTCAAAATTTTCCAATGAACATTATAGACATAATGTTAATCAAATCAACTTTTAAAAGTTTTAAATGTTTATATTTTAATTAATAGTTTTGTAAAAAAATAAATTTTAATCAAAAAAATAATTTTTATTTAGAGTAAATACCTTTTTCGTTCCTGGAAATATTTGCGAAGCACAATTTAGTCCCTCGGATTAAAAAAGTCACATTTCAGTGTTTCATCTTTGAAAAAAAGGGCCACGTTCGTCCTTCCGTTAGTTGGCATCTAACGGCCCAACTAACGGTGCACACGTGGACCGTTACTTTGTTGAGTCACCGTTAAGTATGCCAGCTTGGAAGTAAAACGACGCCGTTTTGAAGGTGCCTTATGTCTTGTTGGAGTTTTGAACAGCTGAAGGTCCTATTTGGTCCCTGACAAATTTATCGAGGCCCTATTTGGTCCTTAACACTAAAAAGTCACCATTGCAGCAAACCTTTCAAACCACCATTGCAGCAAACCAAGGCTTATGCTATTGGCAAGGCTTATGCTATTCGATCAGATTTCCCATTGGCCAAGGCTTATGCTCTGATTCACTAAAAAATGATGATGATAAAATGAAATTAAAGTCGAATAGAGTATTTGGTGAAAGAGAACTGCATTTCATCGCAGGAAAATCACATTGACTCAAATTATTGTACTTTTTCGTTAATGATTTGAACATCACAATCCACCACTAGCTGTTTGTGTCCAGAGAGGACGAGGAGCTCATCATATCGTGTACTCAACTTGCTCAAGTTTTGCATTGGCTATGTAATAATGACAATAATATAAGAACCCACAATGAAACTTTTTTCCTCTATGAAGCAATATATTGTTTCATGCATCAGGGTTTAATTACAAAGGTTTCACTCTTACGACCTTTTAGAGGTATCACTTCTAAAGGAGTTCCTTGCAATTGCAAACAATGCATTAAATGAAAAGGGAAGAATGAGTTCTTTTTTCTTTTCTTTTCTTTTTTCATGTGTTCTCCTTTTTCATTAGACAACACTTTTATTGTTACTCAAGACAGTTGCCATGATTTTGGAAAGTGGTATTTTGTAAAAAAGAATGGTAAAAGTTAATTATTTATTATTTTTTTCATAGATCGTTGCATCTGTTATCATCATTACAAAGCTTGAACATCCATGAAATTTGTGGGATTGTTTTCCTTGTGTTTTAGTTCTGTGCCAATATTATTGATGGTTGCTTGGATATATGAAGTATGAACTAGATATTATATTGATACTTGAACAAGATTGTATATATTAAGGTACATAGACTGGACAGAGACTGCTCTGGCATTCTGGTGATGGGAAGGACACAGACAAGTGCTGCAGTTTTGCATTCCATCTTCCGCGAGAAAACTTCCAGGGCGTCAGATGATGTGAGTGATAATTGTACTTTTTCATCAAATGCTTCATGCTGGCTGACCTGGATGATATAACCTCCAGAGCATTGGTCTATTATGGTCACAATCTCAAGTTGCTATATCTGTTTCATTTTTTTCTGACCTTGTTCCATTTGATCCTTAAATAGATTGACACAAAAAAGAGAATCCTACAAAGAAGGTACTGGGCACTGGTCATTGGATGTCCTACACGTTCAAAGGGGTTGGTTACTGCTTCATTGGGTAAGGTTGTATCCATATTGGCACTTCATATGTACTGTAGAAAGCTCGTTATATATTGTAAAAGATTGTTGTAATCCTTTTTTTGGTTTCAGGTGGTTGTTGACAATGGGAAATCTGATCGAATAGCATAAGCCTTGGTTTGCTGCAATGGTGGTTTGAAAGGTTTGCTGCAATGGTGATTTTTTAGTGTTAAGGACCAAATAGGGCCTCGATAAATTTGTCAGGGACTAAATAGGACCTTCAGCTGTTCAAAACTCCAACAAGACATAAGGCACCTTCAAAACGGCGTCGTTTTACTTCCACGCTGGCATACTTAACAGTGACTCAGCAAAGTAACGATCCACATGTGCACCGTTAGTTGGGCCGTTAGATGCCAACTAACGGAAGGACGAACGTGGCCCTTTTTTTCAAAAATGAAACACTGAAATGTGACTTTTTTAAACCGAGGGACTAAATTGTGCTTCACAAATATTTCCAGGGACGAAAAAGAGTATTTACTCTTTTATTTATATTTTTCATATTTATATATTTAAAACATTTATGTAAAGTACGAAATATTTAAAAAAAAATTATATGTAATTTACGTTTGGGTCCTAAGATATTTAGAAATATCTCAAGTGTGCTTTTATATATGTGAGTGTCATTTACGTTTGGGTCCTGAGATACTTAGAAATATCTTAAAGCGTGCTCTAAATATCTAACACTTTTTGTACACGCTGTATTCACTTTTCAACTCAGTCGCCGGAGCTAGCTCTTCCCACTGCGCCGCCGCAGAACATGTCGACGACAGCTGCATCCGGCGAAGACTCTCTCTCTTACTACCTTGACACGCCAACTCTAGACAGCGAGTCCCCTACGCTCCTCCACTCCATTTCCGAGCACGGAGGCTACGCCTACGTCAGCATGGCTGCCCTGGCCGCCGCCGGCGACTTTCGCGCGGCGGAGGCGGCTCGAGAGATGGCGTGGGAGCAGCTTCACTCTGGTCCCTGGCACTCCGTGCTTCCTGTGTGGCGCGATGCGTATTCCATGGCGTGCCTCCACGTGGCGAGGCACCACTACGGCAACGGCGAGTTCAAGGAGGCGCTTAGGGTTTTGGATATGGGGCTCATCATGGGAGGAACGCTCCTTAGAAACGATTTGGACTCTGCCGTTGAGAAGGTATCAGAAAAAGCAAGGAGTGTTAGGGTTTCTGAAATGAACCATCAAGGTTTTGGGAGCTGCGAGCATCGACTCGTTGATCAGGAATTTGATGTCGCTAAGGTGAGGTCCGAAGCGATGAGCATTTAAAAGAAAAAATACAGTATAATCTAAAATCTGAATGGTGAAGTTTCAGTAAATATTGATATTTAAAAAAAATAAAAAAATTGAATGTAAATGTTTGAATCAAAAGTATGTTTATGAATAGTTACGCTCAGATATTATACAAAGTTTGACTATTAATTCATATTGAAATTTGAAGGTTTTTTTTTCCTTTTATGTTACTATATTATGCTTATTTTTCTGTGTTTATAATGAAGTTGGATCTCACTAAGATGGTTATGTTATGGCTCCATTTGTTGAATGGACCTTCTAACGTTTATGTTATAGCTTTTTACACTGTAGGTGCTCCAACTTTTACCTGTCAAGTCACTTTCTTCTGAGATTGTGGTGAAAAGGTCGGCTCTGTCGTTGGAGAAATTCCTGATAGATCATTACCTGTGTGGTTCCCCTGTTATTATCAGTGATTGTATGGCTCACTGGCCAGCCAAGACGAAATGGAATAACATTGATTACTTGCTAAGAGTTGCTGGTGACCGCACAGTTCCGGTTGAGGTAATTTCTCTAATTGACGTATTTGTAATTACAAAGGAAGGCAGAGCAAAGGTAGAGTGCTGAAGGTTTCAAGACCGAATGCATTTGTTTAGTTTCTTCCATTTTCAGAGAAAAATGGATAGCTGTTTGACAATTTTTTCTCCCTGAAACTCAAATCCTTTAACTCACCTTAATTAATAATTCCCAAACTGTAACTTAACTCACTCCTCGGTCACATGTGTCTTGTAGCTGCTAGATTCATAGCTGTATTATGAAATTTGTGCTGTTTGCTGTAAATGGTAATCTTTCTCAAACAACTTTCTTATTAGTAGTTTGGGAAATTTATCAGGCAGTTTTATTAGTACAAAAAGCGTTAAGTGAAGGCACCAGTGGAGATAGAAGTATTGAGAGAGAAATTTTAGTGAAAAGTTAACCTTAGATAGTTATTGACAACACAAACTGGGTGCATTTAGGTTACATTGGCAATGTTATAGTCTTCTCCTTGTAATTTCTATCTTGTCCCCTCTTTGTAAATTATATTTACTAAATTTATTTCTACAGGCCAACCAAATTTGGTCATCAACTAGGAAACCATTCACCTGTAACATACTTTAATGCAATCAATCTATTTGCATTGCATACTAATCACTTCAAATTTATCTGATTTTATAGGCTTAAAAATGCTCTACGTAGAAATCCTAGGACTTTTTCTTTCATGCATCTAACAAGTACAAAAAGATTCTGTTTTTTGGTTGCAACTGTTTGTGAGTAAAGACCCCCTCCTTCTTAGCTCTGTGAGACTGTGACGTTCCCTTGTAGATTTTTGTTTAAACACTAGGTTGTTAAAACTGAAGTAGGTCATGAGATAAAAGTTGAAGAAGTTTATGTTTTGCTGATGTGAATCTTCCTTGCAGTACCTCATATCTTGACATTATAACTATTGTCACCTCTGGTTTTGTTTGTATCTATGTCCCATTTAACCTCAGAAAGACTTTTTTTTTTGTCACGGCAAGGTTGATGAAGTTGTTTAGTAGTATACAGAAAATACACCCAACCTACACAAAGGGAGAATGGGGTGGATTGGATCTTTTGTATGTTCTACATTCTTTTATTTTTAGATAAATGTTGGAAGAAAAGGGTAAGTGCAGCATTCTTTGCAGGTTGGGAAGAACTATTTATGTGCAGAGTGGAAGCAAGAGCTAATTACATTTTCAGAGTTTCTTCAACGGATAAAGTCTTATGGTTGTTCTCCTGGCGGTCCGACATATCTTGCGCAACATCCATTGTTTGATCAGGTATTTACAATTTAGATTTATGTTGTCTCCAATTTCAACTTTTGCAATTTTGGCATGCAAGTGAAGGATTCCTACCGCGTCTTTCAGTTACTAATATTATTGAATTGGCAGATAACTGAGCTTCGGAAAGATATCTTTATTCCTGACTATTGTTTTGCTGGTGGAGGGGAGCTAAGATCTCTCAATGCTTGGTTTGGTCCAGGTGGAACAGTAACACCATTACACCATGACCCGCATCATAACATACTAGCTCAGGTAACTCAGTTGTATACTTATATTGAACAATTACAAAATAAAGCCGGAAATCCCCAGGGTCCAATAAAAAATTCATTTTATATACCACTAGCTGTTAATGGCCCTCATGTTCTGAGTTTTTGTACGCCAAGTAATTATTACTGAAATAAAGTAGGTCCCACGAGTCCAACTTTGGAAATTTTCTTTAGTGCTACGGATACACCGAATTTTCGGTACATATTCCAGTTACAATGTGACACGTTTCTTACTTTTTATCAAATCATTCTCTCACCTGATTTTAAAATAAATTATTTATTAATGATTTGACAAAAGTAACTCACGTGTCACATTGTGAGTGGAAGATGTACCGAAAACTCAGTGCATCCATAGCACTGAAGATATTCTCCCAACTTTGAGTAATTCTATTACTGAGCCAGCTTTTCATGCTTCTTAGCTAGACTACAATTGTATTATGATTCTAACTGTGCACTTCTGTATAGCTGGCATGGCATAACTGATGTACTTCGAGGTAGAATACAAAGTTCGGATTTATTATGGCTTTATCTTAAGAGAGACCTTTAATATAAAATGACATTGTGGTTTATATGATATCCTTCTTGTGTAAATTGTTTAGAAAATTCTGCTTACGTTATTGGTGCAGAAAATTGCCTTGATTATAGCTCATTCTAATAGCCTTATCATGCAAAGGATTACTGTGGTTTTGGGGCCTTTGGGCATGGAGGTTTGCAGATCTTGGAAGTTCTGCAGTTCCATCTTTGTTTTTTCTTGTTTTGAGAGAGATTTTGGTCTTTGTAATTAGGGTTTTTCCTTATTTTTCTGTAATTGAACACCTGGTTCCTGTCACTCAACATGGTGGAATAATCTATTGGACTGAAATTATTGTCTTGCTTCATATTTCCAGGTTGTTGGGAAAAAATACATTAGGCTTTACTCTGCATCTTTGTCTGAGGAACTTTTCCCCTACTCTGGTACCATGCTTAGCAATTCCAGCCAGGTATTTAGTTTTTGAGCTATATGAGTGAGTGACTTCCTGTGCAGTTTTCTTATTTACCTTTTGCTCGGAAGCATACTACTATCACTGCATCCCCTTTGAATGGCAAAGAGCTCTAGAAGTATTTCACTAATGTAACTTTTCTTCTTTACGTCTTGTCTTTTCTTTTTCTCCTCTTTTACTCCTGAATGTGTGTCTAGGCTTTCATCCTTACACAGGTTACACATTGACCTGGCAGCCAAGTGGTCATGTATTTAAACTTTTATCACAAACCTAAAAGGTTCTTCTATCTTAGATATGTAATGAGAATGGATTAGTTGTGACAAGAATCTTTCTTCCATCCAGTGCTTATTATTGACTAGACTAGCTTCTAATATGATGTAGAGTTGAGAAGAATGTGATCATAAAATAAAGAACAATATGGGTGTTGATTTCCAGTTTACTTGTACAATTTATTGGTATGGAATAAGTTAAGCCCACGAATCTATTATGTTGCAATGTGGAAACGATATATGGGGTGTTGATTGTGGTTGGCTTACCTATAATTTCACTCATACTGCATAAGCCATGACATCCATTCTCTGCGTGTTCATTTAATTTCTGCCTAGTTCTTTCTTAGATGGGGTGTATTTTTTAGTTGTATTCTTACTTTTGACATGTTGAAATCTATGTCTCCATGTTGATTGGAAATTTCTTTTGTTTGTAGGTTGATTTAGATGACATAGATGAAGGGAAGTTTCCTAAGGTGCAAGACTTGGAATTTGTGGACTGTATTTTAGAGGAAGGTGAAATGTTATATATCCCTCCAAAATGGTGGCACTATGTGCGGTCTTTAACTACCAGTTTCTCGGTTAGCTTTTGGTGGAGTGAGGGCGAAAGTTCAGCTGCATCCTAATGTTGTATCACTTTGATGCCTATGTTTCATTTTTATTAATGGAGAACTGAACATGTTCTTAAGTACCGTTGCTAATATCTACGTGACAGGTCATTTTACATCCCAGTGACAGTAGAATTCTTATGTGCATAAACATCATTTTTGGCACTTGTTGCCTTCATTATAATATAGATATAAAAGAAAAAATGAGCAAAAGAGCTGCGGAGACAAACATTTACATATTTGTCTCGAGAGTCTTGTGTCCTTCAATTACTGATCATAAAGGTTTGTGAAACCGTAGTCCCGAACACTATAATGTGATACTATCTTTTGGGGTTAATAATACTTTCCATTTGTACTGAAAGTATGCTGAAAGGGTTTCGATCCTTTAAACATGTTGACAGGAGTTCGATCTCTGGCTGTGTGTATAGGAAAGGTTTTATTAGGAAAGGTTGTACCCACGATCGTGTGATCTTTTCGCCTCGAGAAGATTAGTTTTTGGCTTTCGGCTGGAAGATATCCTTGGAACAATTTTCAAAAATAAATATTCAAGCTTTGGCCTGTGTGGTAACGTTTCACATGACTTGGATGTCTCTACTAGAGAATTTAACTATACTGTGGGGGTTTTTTTTATAAATTTTCTCAAACTCGGTTCACCCTCCTTTTGATCTCATAAAACACTGAAGTAATATAGAAAGAGAGTTAGTTTAACATAATAATTGCTTCTAATTATGGGATATTGCCGAATGTAGTCTGTTTAGAGTAATTGATCGAAAATTCTGCGTTTGGTTCCATTGCTTTTCTCCTTCATTGACACAGTAGCTTATAAGAACTCATCTGTCCCATACAATTAGAAAGATAAGCAAGAGAATAATATTATCCTTGGGTTTATGCGGATTGTATATGAGAAAACTGCTTCATAAGATGAGCTTAAAACTTTAATGAGGCTACTCGTCTCTCCTTTTAAATATGCTTTCTCTGTTCTGAACTAGGAGATTGAGAACATACGTTATACAACGGTAAGAATAATTTTATTTAGCTCATTGTCCCTTGCACTTTTGAATCTTCATCTACTCAATGACAAGCATCCAGAATTGAATTGGCAGTAGATTAAACCTATTTGAACGATTGATTATTAATTACAATATACGTTTGGCTAGTTACAGAGTAAAAGATGACAGACTAAAGAAAAGCAAAAGAAAATACACAGTGAAATAAAACTTATCTCTATATATGTTTAACTTAGGCAACAGATTTGTACCTGCAAAGAACTTTACACCTCAAGACCCTATCCTGAACATAAAAGCCCGGCATCACCATGATCTTAACTCTGCTTGGACCTTGTGACTTCGGGCTCATATCTTCCATGTAGTGAGCATCAAAGGTTCTATTCTCTTCAACCCTTAAAATTCCCAATGGTGGGTTGAAAGAAAAGGCAAACAAATGCAGCAACCACATGCATTTTGCCGTCACAAAGAAAGCTTGAAGGAGCTGTTCAGGCCAAGGCCTTGTCCAATTCAGACTAGTGGTAATACAACTCATTTTCTGGTCACAGAACTTGCTGAACTCTTCACTGTAATATTTTGTTCCCTTTCTCAGTACCTCGTTCCAGCTCAAATTCCTAAGGGCTATAAATGACGAGAATTGTGCTTGGCGTTCCTCTTGTGGGTCTAGGAATTTTGGGCAACCATTCTTTTGGAACACACAATTCTCAAAGTCTTGGTAGATAGACTGATTTATGAAAGCTTCAAAATGGTATAGAACTGCCTTTGAGTACTTGGAATTCAGAGATAGCTTATATGGTTGAAGTAGCAAATTCAAATTTTCTGTCAAAGAATGATCAGTTTCTTCAATATGGTTTATAAGGGTCTTACAGAACTGCTTCACTGATATTCTGGACTCTGACACTATCTGCAAGAATCCCTCTACCATTACTTCCTCACTCGCAGGCATCATATTTTCTCTATTCCCATCAAATGATTTCCCTCTCTGAGGAAGATTATTAAGTTGTTCACAAAGTTTTGAATCCTTTGACTGCATGGCTTGCCTCAAAGCTTTCTTCAACTCTTCACAGTAACTCTCCAAGTGCTCCAGCTTCTGTCTCAGCTCCCCCAATGAAGATCTCATTTCAGAAACTTCCATTAAGGCCACATCTCTGTTCTCGTTTGCTTCCATAAGCTCTTTCTTCAATGTCTCAATTGACATTACTCCCAAGTCCTTAAGAACCTGAGAAACATCCTCAGATTCTGCTCTATTTGGCGAATTCTCATTCTTATGCTTCTTCTTTAACCGAGGAAACAACCATGAAATCACCCCTTTGCTTTTGGTTTGGGATTGAAAAGATGAGTGGGAATCCGAGACTGGGACAACAATATTGGAGCTCTTGCTGTTCCTTGCAGCCTCGAATTCGCTAGTTATGGTGGCAGGCTTACATTTATTGCAAGATGATATGGACTTGAAATCCTCTAAACTGTTTCTCCTACACTTGAAGTAGTCATTTGCAGGTGATGTTTGAAGAACAGTGATGTGATTTGTACAAGAGCCAGTTACCGATTTGGTATCTTCAGTATGACACATGTGTGCTTCTAGGTTTGCAAAACCAGAAAGTAGTCCCTTTCTTGAACTTGATTTCTCCTTGTAATCTGGTACAATGGTTTCTAATAACCTTTTTCCTCCTTCTAGCCCGTTCTCATCCCAACTTTCTGATATTGTTAGGCTTTTCATGGGGTTTTGATTGTACCCCAGTAGTGAGTTATCTTCATAACTCTGTCAATAATTCTCTCGTTAAGAAACTTATTATCCATCAAACTTTAAAAAAAAAAAAAAAAAAAAGATTAACTGGGGTGGGGGAATTTGCAGCCACAAATATTGATAGAAATCTGAAAAAAATGAAAAAGCAGGGGAGATAGAAACATGATACTTGTCTTTAAATAACAAGAATCGGATAATAAGCATACTAGTTACAGGGTTTGAATCTTTTAAGTTCCATGACAAGGGAATTAAAGCAAGAACCCCAAAAAGTCAAAACTCTGATTCACGGTTAGTGTTTCGTGGAGATTAAATAAGATTAAAGAAATGGGAGCAACGGCCAAGTATAAAACTCAACAACAATGACATCTACCTATGGAGCTATAAAGAAGACAGAAATTTAATAACTTATCAACTATCACAGGTAGCAGAGTTCAAGGGATGGGAGAATAATATAAACATTGAAAGCAAGCCAAGAATTATTGCATATTCCATTAACTCAAGTATCTTGGTTTTGGTCCCTATCATGATGAACAGAAACAATCACATTTCATGCATAATTAGCAACAGTACTCTGTCACTTTGAATAAACTAGCTGTGTTGATATGAATTAGAAAGATATTGGATACCCAGTTCACCAAAAGAAGTAAAATACAAATTTACAATCCAAAATTCAAGAAAAAAAAATAAAAAAATTTATACTTACAGGAGTGAAAACAGGGTAATCTTGAGCAGAGAACTGAGAAACAGGGCGTGAAACATGGGAAGGGGATGGGAATCTAGCATTGAATGGGCTATTTCCTCGCATCAAAGCAGCATGAATAGCTCTTAGCTCCACTGCTTTGGCTATGGCGGTCTGAATTTCATTCCTAGTTATTTCAGGGTTGCCATTATTTCGGTCGTTGTTGTGGTCTTTGAAAACCTGAGCTGGAGTAGCAGTTGAAGCCATGAAACACAACAGAGAACAGAACAAATTTGAACATGTAAATTTGTAAAAGATAATATGTGAACTAGATAAAATAAGATTTTTTTATTATGACCGAGAAGAACAAAGTTGGTGAACAGAACAAGTGGTATTCAATGGTTGGAATTGAATTGAAAGGCTATATCTAAAGTAGAAACTTGGAGAACCAGAAAATAGAATGAGGGGTACCCCAAGTCCAACGATTTTTGTTTTTATTCTCATAGCAAAATTAATGGAATGAGAGAGCATGTGATGATGTGAAGAAAAGAGACAAATAGAGAAGGAATTTTAACTCTTACATATATATATATGTACACATCAGAGGCTTGTAGCCAGTTTACAATTATACCCACAATAACATATTCCAAAAATTACCAGAACTCAAAACATTAGGTGGTGGTACCACTGTTTCACATGATTGCTTTAGTACAAACATTAAGAAGTTCCATTCCTCTATGTTCCACCACCTTATATGTGGTCAACTAATTCAGCTTTAAATTTGGTGATATTGTCAACCAGATGTTGCTTTAATACTGTGTGTAATCATCACAGTTAATGACACGACTATGTTTCCTTCTCAAACTTCGCTCACAAAAGCATCAATTTAGTCTTTTGGGTTTTCTTTTTCATAATGAAAACATGTTCTTTTGTTATGTGATAAGATAATATTTTAGATTCCATCATGCTGCTTTCATATACCTAATCATTAATGTAGCTTCACTCAACAGTTTAAGTTTTTGGGTTGAATTGATTCTTTACTGAGATATATAAAAAAATCATTAATATAGCTTCACTCAATAATTTAAGCTTTTGGGTTGAATTGGTTCTTTACATGGTATCAGAGCCTCGGTGTACCGAGTTCGATCCTCACCGCCCCCATTTTATTTCTAATAGAATTTCTTTCTTCGCATAGATAGGTAGACCTGTGCATCTTACACCTTTTAAGCCCAGTGTACTCTCATATGAGGGGGCACGTTAGGATATATAAAATCATTAATGTAGTCTCACCCAATAACTTAAGCTTTTGGATTGAATTAGTTCTTTACCACCTCTTTTTCATGTGTATATCCTTGTGTATCAAGCACAAAGTGTAGCTTTAACCCTTGATGAAAATTTTAAAGAGCTCAAACTTGTCCTGCTAACTAAAAGACAGTGGGAAATTTCGCAAAGGGAAAAACCACTTAATAAATTCATGGATTTGAGCTCCAATTGGACAATTTTAAAAACTTACATCTTACTCTAATGGGAAAAGTAACTTTGTTTTTTTTTTCTTTTGAAAAATCCGTGCAATTATGTTGGTTATTCTACAAATAAAATTGAAGATCAATAATATTGAGGCGTGCAAGGTGCGGTTCTTTATTGCGAAAGGGGGAAAGAAAGCCTTCCAAAAAGCTCTGACACTTCACAAACATTGAATAATGTCACAGTGGGGATCAAATGATCAAGTGGGCAATGGGCAGCATTTTAAATTACAAAAAGCCCTTCATATGCCATGTATAAATACTTGTTCCCAAGGGTATTTTCGTAAACGGAGAATCTTCGCTCTTCAGTATCCAGTCTGGTATCCTCTATCTAACTGCAACTGTACTTCCACTTAGGATAGTGGAACCATTGAGGTGAATTTGACCCTAATATAATATACGGTTTAAAACAAAGGAAATATAGTCTTTGGATGAGATAATTTATTAAGTAAAATTACTTTTAGGTGACTAATAAAAAACATGATTTTCACTTTTATCTTTTATAGAAAAAAAAGTTAATTTTTGTTCCCTTTATAATTTCAGTTTTTTGAAAATGTGATATCTTGAAATTTAATAAAGATCCAATTTAGTCCATACAAAAGGACTAATATGGATATTTTTAAAGTGGAGACCTTGCTTTTTGTTAGGGATCCAAAAAGAGACTTTATTCTAATTTATTTTAGACAATACAAAAATGAGTGGAACTCATTCAGAAGAAGAGAGAGAAATAAAACAAATGAGTCTTAAAAATACTGTATGTATGAAATAAAATGGTCTCCTGTAACATGAGAAACTATATCTCTGTAAAACAATTATTAAAACATGGTATGTAAACATAGTTGATTTATTATTTTTTAATGAAAACAACTTTATTACAAAAAAGAAGAAGAAAGAAATAGATGAGTGAACTCCAAATTAAAATGGTAATGATGTTTCCAAAATAGGTGACAAATGAAGGTGGATAACCAGGTACATGAGATGAGACCTTATTTGAGTTCAAAAACTCTGAAATCTTTTCAAAAGGAGTTCCTTGTTACAGTGACCACTTTTTTTTTATGTAAAAGTCACAGTTTTATGGAAATTAAGATCCTTCAGCCAAGCCCCTACAAAATTTAGAGAGATTTGTCAAAGCACCAACCATATGCAAAAAGTGTCTTTTTCTTAATTGATAGCATTGACACACCAATACACCGTGCCTGAATTAAATTCTGGTATTTATATCTATATTGAAAGTACAGAGTCAAGCATGTCAAGAACTTGAGCAACTCATATTAGGTAGTTTAGCCAACTCATTATGACATGCATTTGGCTTTGACTACAGAAAGGATGAAGTGATCGAGAAGGATCACTCTTCTACTAACCATTAAAAGAAGAAATTTAATAAGATCAAGAGAGAAAATTACAAAGAGAAATAAAGATAAAGTTGATAAAGTAAATTAAAAGTTTAAGTTAATAAGTGATGACACATTAATAGTTTTATATTATATTTCTCTTATACATTCTTTTACGCAAAAGTTCTTTGTACTTGAAGCATGAATATTATGCCTATTTTATTTTTGTTCTATCTTGTGCTAAGTTAATTCCACTAGAAAAAGTGAGGTAGTAAAGATTGAACTATTTACAAAAAAAAAAAAGATTGAACTCGTGATCCCATGATCACCTTGTCTCTAATACTATAATAAATAATCATCTCACCCAACAACATAGAAATGCAGAGAATTCAATTGAAGAAAGCTACCTAATCTCTTAATATATCTGAGAAGGGTTAAGTGTTTATTCTTTTAAAGGACATAAGTTGTTTCCTTTCAGTTTTTAACACTATATCTTATTAGTAAGATATTGTTATAAGGGGCAGGTTATATTTACAAACTTTTTTGTTTACAAACTACACTAAGTACGATCGGTCATACTTTAATCATGTAGTATACGACCGGTCATACTTAGTGTAATTTGCAAAAAAAAATTGTAAACGGATCATATCCCTTGTTATAATATGAAAATTTATTCTTTTTCTCTCTATATCAGTTGAAGTGATTAAGAAGAGAGGAAAAAAAAGTAACTTTTCATATTATAACTATGTCTTACCGGTAAGACATAGTATTAAACACTAAAAGGACACAAAATTGTGTTCTTTAAAAGCACAAACATTTTTCCATCTTAGAAACCCTAATAAAAAAGCCTTGTGCTTTTGCATAATCTTTTTAGGATTTACTAATCTCATGTTACATGAGATAGTATTTTCATGTGGGTGACACAAATATGTGGGATCCACAATCTAAAAAAAAAAAATTGACACCAAATTCGATGGGTGTATGATATAAGATAGCTTTCTTATGCAATCACGAGGGTGTTATTTCCCAATCTTTCTATATCATATAATCTTTAATTCCTTTTTGCAGTCTAAAAATACTCATTTCATTATTTTTATAACTATAACAGTGAATCAATCAATGCTTTTAAGTTTTCGTCACTACTTAACACAGGTCTGAAGTCTTCCTCGGCAATATGCTTCAGCCTGTAAGTTATGGATCATCGGCAAATATGTGCGGAGGAGAATAAATAAAAAATACTAAGAAATTGTATGTTTCTTTCTCCATCAAATGGGACCAAAACAAGATACATCAGAGTACATAGGGATCAATTATGGTGTAAGGTTTTACTCAGGAAAGGTATCTTTATGTCTGTTACTTTCAATAATTGATTTCATTGACAAGGGGAGTAGGGGACAATAACGATCTCAAAAATATGAGTTGGATGGGGGAAGCCCTATGATCCACGCTAATCAATTCAAACAAAACTAATCCTTTAACTTCTCTTGGTAATTTAAATAATGCACACAACTTTATTTTTGAAATCATAGCTCTTACAAGCACACAACGTTATAAAAGGAAACCACTCTATGGAAAATCAAGGACAAGGAAATATGGGACCGCTAAGGTAGTCTTGTTTGCTTCAGGCTCACAGCCATAAAAAAAAAATGTGGCATTGCACTAGGAATGGCAATTTAGCATTATGGTTTGCAAAATATTTTTTGTTGCGTAGCTCTCCTTTCCATTGAGAACATGAGAATGTACCAAAGTTCTGGCTTTGTAGGCGTGAAAGTTACGTCTCTTTCATTTTTAGTCACGGTCACAGCCTAGCCTTAAAGAAACAAGTGAAATGAATTTCGTGTGTGCCCCGAGGAATGAAAGAGGAATCTGTAAAGAAAACAACCAAATCAAGTACAAGCAACACTACAACATGTGTGGTTCTCTCTTCGTTTAGAATAAAATGACAACACCACCTCACCCCACCTTTTTATGTAAGGGATATAATTTGCATTTCTCTGTGTTGTCTTTATCACTTGTTTTTGACTGTTTATACTTTCCTTCTCATAGCTTGAATCTGGAGAAGGTATATTTAAAAAAAAAAAAAAAAAGAATTAACCAAATGCTAAGGAAGCCTAACCTAATGTCAAAAGATTTGAACCTAACACTCCAATTATCTCGAGTGACAACTAATCTCACGCTAAAAAACAGAGAAAATACTAGTAAGAACCCCCAAGCAAAAAAAAAAAAAGTGATTGGCTTGATTGATGCAATACCCAAAGGAACTTCACTTTCACATGGGTTAGTTAAAGCGGACTACTACGAACATTATGATATAATGAGGTAATATGCCTTTACAGGTTGGTTATACGATGTATAATGCTTCTTTCTTTTCTTTTTAAAATTTATCTGGATTGATTTTTATTCTTATTTTCACTTTTTCTTTTGGTTTGGCAGGTGAAATTGTAGAATCCCAAATAAACAAGAGGGAAGAGGGGGAGTATGAATAAAAAGCAAAATATGCACCGGAAGAGGGACAACAAAAAGTGACAAGAAACTATAGATTTGTGTCATGGTGAAAATTCGTATAGTCTAAAATCAAGAGTATAATGAGAAGACATAGACATGGAACATGTTCAAATTATTTCTTTTATCTCTTTCGTTTTCCTTTGTGGGAAGACTCCTTCCCTCAATCAAGGGGAACTCATCCCGTTCCCTATCACTTTTTTCCCAAACCTTTCTCGTATCTTTTATTTTCTGAGATTCAATACAACTGTTGTACAACAATTTAACAGAACTGTCAGATTAAATTGCCACTACTGCCCTACAAAAATCTGCCGATCTTGGGAAGTTGGGACTAATCTTCACCTCTGTATGACTCATGTCCTTGGGAAATCACAAGCAATGATGTTTGCTGAAACCAATAATCAAGTTAGCAAATATTGTCGTGCACGTTTGACTGCTGCAAGCTTGATGTTATTTTGATAACTTCCAAACAGGTCAAAGAAATAAGCTAGTATAAATGACCCGCATGGGCAAGTCAAAAATACAAGACAAATTACAGTCGGGCTTCAAAAACTATATGCTTACTTAAGAACAAGGGAATTTTGTTCAACAAATTAATATATATGAACCATGTTAGAAAGGAAGCTCATTTTGGAGGAACTAATTTAAAACCGGTTCAAGATGTTGTCAGATAAGGATGTCATAAAGCTAAGCATTGAATTTTAAAACACGTAAAGTTCAAACACAATGATGAAGATAATTGAATTTTCTAATCCACAAACCTTGGTTCCCACTACAATGGCATTGTATAAAGGATGAGCAGCGCATGAGATAACTCCTTCAGATAAAGGAATAAATCTGTTCTGATTATTTTGGTTGCGCATGGAAATTTCATTTCTATCCTCCCTGTAAAGAAGAATAATACTAAAACTGTAAGGCGGGGGAAATTGCAATAGAGTTTGATAAGTAAATATAGGCATATGAAAACTTGGATGTATACATGCCTTCGCAACTATGTGATAAATTTACGTACTGTGGATTTCACTGTATATGTGCTTTCTCGATTTTGTGGTCAATTGAAGTTAAAAATAGGGACTTTGGGGTAAATTAATATATGTCTGTCATTGTTGGAGTGCCTTACTTGTAATCCACGTGGCTTGGTGAGCTGGTGCTGGGATAGAAATCCAGTAGATGAATGCCACAATCAGATGATGACCCAGCCAAATAGATCTGCACTAAATTACAACAGATATAATTATTTCATATCTGAATAGAAAGGAATAATGCTTACAGCGATGAATCCTATAAAAGTAGACACGGCTTAGGAGTTATATCAACAAGGTTTAAATAAGATTTTATTCCCTATAGTTTTTTTTAGTCCATTTAGGTTTTGATCCCTATATTTTATTTCTTTTGATATTGGTCCCTATATTTTTGCTTATTTAGGTTTTGATCTCTGAAGGGCCGGCCTGGCTCAGCTGTAAGCTTGCTTACCGTGGTGTTCCAAGTCAGGAGTTCGACTCGGCCCCCCTGCAAAGCAGGGGTGAGGCTTGACTCAAATTTCTCTTCCCCAGACACTCACGGAGTGGGTCTTGAACTGGGTCGGCCTTTTTTTTTTTTTTTTTTAGGTTTTGATCTCTATTTTTCAGTTATTAGTCTCTATACTTTCCATTCATTTGGGCTCTTCTAGTCTTTATAGTTTTTGCCTGCACTGCACACACATTGGAGTGGGTGGGGTCCTATCACGAGAAGAAAGAGAATTTTAAAAAGTGAATCTCATCCACTTTTATATGTTTACAGAGATAATTTTATCTCATACACACTTATGAAAGAAAATAAATAATTGCTCATCAATCCCATAGTTTTTACTCATTAACGTATTGGTTTTAATTTTTCATAAAAAATTAGTTTTTATAGTTTTCATTTATTAAAAGCATTGTTTCCTAAGGGACTAAAACCCAAATGAATGAAGGTATAAGAACCACACGCATGGGATGGCACAAGTGGTAGCGACTTGTGTTTCATGAGTTCAAACGTTAGGATAAAAATCCTGAGTAAGGGGTTTAACCATTGCGCTGTAAGCCCAAAGGGGAATGAGATCCCGGGGCTGACCGTGCTAACCCATGGCATGTGCCCGTGACCACCCAAACCCTTTTATAATTAAATATTAAAAAATAAAAAACTCTTAAACTGTAAGGACGAAAAGCCAAATGAGTAAAACTCTAGGGACCAATCTTATTTAAACCCAACGGTAACTACTGCCAGCATTGTCACACGCACTGTATAAACGTAGAAATTGATTATAAAAAATAAGATGCCAACATGTCTAAAAGGTGAAAGTTTTGTAGGGAATAACTCATGCAAAGATAAACGAGGTGCATCAAGTTAATAAAAATTTCTTACCGAACATGTAGATAGCCATGAAGGTTTTCTTAAATATGATAGATCAGCGGGAATATAGGAATCATTTCTAACAAAAATGAACAGTAAACAGAATAATTAGACATATTTTGAGAAGCCTTTTCACAAATACAAACAAAGCAATTCTAAATGTGACAACTGACAAACTTACAACCAAGCTGGGGGTGGGCAATGAATATGTGTAACTTCAAAATTATTCATATCCAAAACGCCCGACCTACATGAATGCATGGAAGGATAAATTTACATAATGGAGTAACAAATGTAAGGAAGCATTTATTCTTGACATGTAAAATTGAATAAAAAGAAGACAACTATATTGGATGTACATAACCACTAGACGTCAAATGGTACTGTTTAGCGGTAGACATTAACTAGAAACAAATTATTTCCAGATTCAATTTTGAGGAAAATTAAAGAAAATGAGGCCATTCAGAAACAATATAATAATAGTCGGTCAAGTGATTAGCAATAAAGTCACACTTGAAGTTTATAGTAATTGATAGAAACTTAAAAGGATAGAATCATGGAATTGATTGAAATTCTTATTAACAGTGGCTGAGGAAAGAAATCAGGCAAGCGGGAAAGACACTAAACATGGTTCAAAATGCTATTTAGCATCATGGAGGGGGAAGAAAACCAACCCATTTGGCAACCTACCAGCCATCATCAAGATGGAATGCTAACTGATACGGGCATGACGGATTGAGATCAACAGAGTGAATTTCCTTGGGAACAATATCAGCTTGTGCCTGCATAGCAAATAAGAAAGGCTTAGCATAAACTACTATTACGCAAAAGACTATTGCCAAACGGTGCAATCCTGACATCTAATTGCAAACTATATGCTTATTGTTATGATTTGAATTTTGAAGAATTAATACTTGTATTCTCTAAGGAAGTTACAACAAACATGGAATATTTGTAGTGATATGCATATACAGATGAGACTTTTACAGGCACCAAAAGCCTTTTTATCGCAAGGATGGCACCAATCTTAGCCGACGCACATGCCTATTAGGCATTGGAAATCTAAAGAAATAATCTAATAATATAGAGTCAGCTACAACTATTAATGCTCAGCAGAAAATAATTATAGACACAATCTTGTATGCGCGAAGAATACAGAATTCATCTATAATACTGTCGGTGTTTGCATTTATTGTTGTATAATCGCTGATCTTCATAAAGAATATTACAAAATAATATTACAGGTGAAAGTTTTCAAGAGAGCAACCAAAATAGAAATCTAACTGTTAGGGATTCCTCTGCAGCAGCTTCCATAATTCATGAGGCAAAAATCAGTAAAGGGCATATGCATGGGACAGGGGATTGGGAACTATGAATCATATATCAAAAATCAAAATATAAAAATATCACCAAAAATATCACAAATAATTTTGGAAAAAAAAATATCACCAAAATAATTTCAATGTCTGGACAGAAGCCTGAAGGCAAAGCTAGTCTTGATTGTAGTCTAAAGTCTAGACTTCAAAATAAGATATAACAGTTATAATACTAGCTACCATAGTCGTATTCCTCAGAACCAAACCCAAAAAAAAATAAAAAATAAAAAACATTTTTACGAGGATCTTGACGCTATAAAACTAAATAGCCATCACACAAAAGAGTGCGCAGTTTTGCTCACATCTTAATTTGTGAAAGCAGCAAATATGAGCAGCAAGGATAAACACACCTTCAAAGATCCAATCTTCTCTAGCATCGTTGCCAACTTCAATGATGTTACAGGTGGATGGACTACCTAAAAAGCTAATTAAATCAGAATAAGATCACTAAAACTACTGTAAAACATATCATACAATAGCATTTTCCCAAGAAGTCATGCTTTATTCAACAAATTATGCTGCAAGTAAATGCATCCTGTGCTGTAAAAGGTAGTCCGGAGACAAAGGTGATAAAACCGTTAATTGAAGTTGTAGAAAGACATGCATCAAGAGATCACTAGCTTCTGCAACCATGTCTTTATTTACTACAATTTATATCTCAGGCATTAATGCAGATATATAAATAAATCAAGAACAGAACAGTATTTTAATTTTATAAATTGCAATATCAGCCAATGAACTTGTAACTCGATTGGCACCTTTGGACCATGTGATGTTAAGATCAAATGTTCAATCCTCCACCAGGCTATTTATCCTCCTCCTCCCCAACCAAGTTGCTTGAATATTCATTTTACCAAAAACAAATTGTATTATCTAGATAACAACCTCTTTAGAAATGCAAGAGTAAGGTTGTTACAAGAACTACCCTAACCCCACCCTTGCTAGTCCGGTTTTAATGGGGAATGGTTTTTAGATCCAAAGTAAACTGAGGCAGGACAATTTGATTGCCAGTTTGCCACAAGCAAAACTAATTTTATCTTCTGCAATAGTCTTTAGCCAAATATTATGTGTATATGGTTCAACAAAATCTCAAAACTTAAACATTGTTACTTACTTTTCATTAACACACTGGTTACATCATAAAGTCAAAATCCCTTATGGCTAAGCTTTTAACTTGTGTAAAGAACCAATTCAACCCAAAAGCTTAAGCTGATGGGTGACACTATATTAATAGTTTTATATATCTCTAACACGCCCCATCACACAAAAACCCACTGGGTTTGAAGAGCGGATAATACACAGGTCCACCTACCTATGCTAAGAAATTCCACAAGAAAAAGTGGGGGGTGAATATCGAACCCGTGACACCGAGGTCCTAATACCATGTAAAGAACTAATTCAACTCAAAAACTTAAGTTGTTAGGTGAGGTTGTATTAATGGTTTTATGTTTCTCTAACACACCCCCCTCACAAGAAAGTCCATTGAGCTTGAAAGGTGGATGATGCATTAGGCCTAGCCTACCTGTGCTAAGAAACTCCACAAGACTTAATTAATTATTAATTAAATGGGGAGGTGAGGATCGAACCCGTGACACCGAGACTCAAATATCATGTAAAAAACCAATTCAACCAAAAAGCTTAAGCTGGTGGGTGAGGCTACATTAATGGTTTTATATATCTCCAACAACTTGTAACCAAGCAAAGACTAAGCCAAGTAACAAGAAGCCAGGTTGAATGCAATTGCCTCAGCCTCAGAAGGCTTGGTCCTTGATTAGCCTGCCAAGGCAGAAGTAGATCCATTACATTAATAGTCTTTGTCCAAGTAGCCTTGACTCCTTACTTATTTTTAGATGTGTCCTTTTCACAACATAAAAGCAAGAAAGCAAGAACAACCACTAAGTAAACATCAGAAAACGTAATATAACCTCTCTGTGACTTTGAAAAGTAGCAGATGCTCTTCCACCACGAATATCCCACACATACACAAGCCCATGCTTCCCAGCACCAAAAATTATCTGGCAAGAAAATAATCACTGTTCGTAATTTCTCCAAATATTCACTAAACACAATAAACAAGGTGTACTACAAAACTCGTTCAAACCAAACCTAATGCAAATGAATCTGTTTTATGTTATCAAGTGGAGTTTTATCCAGGTAAGTGGACCAGGAGAAATGTTCCTTTTCGTTAATAAGGAAAATCACCGAGATATTAGACAATGACCATTTGTTCCTAGTAGCCTAGAATCTGCATCTTATTAGTTGACATGGGCATTACACGAACTACAAGATTTAGAAATTTGGTCAACTGAAGTGGGCATTTCATTATCAATATTTCATTTTTCACTTGAAAAATGTGCCCGAAAGTCTATCGTGCAACTATGTTGGATTTGTATAATGCTCTCAGTTTCTTCATATCAAGCTTTCACGGCCTTGGATCTCTACTTTAGGCTAATAAACATTGCCAGGTCTCCACCAGATTCCAGAACCACTGGTCCTCTGCTTAACAATAGGAATAGCTCCTCAAATACAGACAGCAAGACAAAACGTTAAACTAAAGCTTAGGATGAACACATTTACATTTAACCTTGAATCGCACGTGCACTTCCCATAGGCTGTAGGTGACCTTAAAATTAATAGGTAAAATTTCAAACATGCTTTTAATGAGTCAATTCAGAACTAAAATGTATAAATTCATTGATGTTAGACATATAAAACCATTCATGAACTAACTAATACACAAGTGATGCGTGGTTTGCTCTAACACAAGTTTGAGTTCTCCATAGAATGTAAAGTCATACCATTCAACCTTTATTTAAGAGAGAGAGAGAGAGAGAGAGAGGGGAGGGGGAGGTGAACGTTAAAAAAATGCACCGTTCCTTATAATCACAAAATTACTCCTACATACACAATTCCTAACCTGATTTTCTGCATTTAATTCGATGCTGTTAAGGGCACCAGACGAAGTGCACGAATTAGATGTAAGCTCAAGGCAAGGCAGAGCCTTCACTCTTCTATCCCAAACATTAATCGCACCATTTGTATCAGAAGCAAGTATCCTGTTAAAATTCGCTAGCAGATTGAGAAAAGCAGAGTGACGGAAAGAATTAATAAATTCACAAAATGAGAAGCATTATTAGGTGCCGTTTGTTACTAAGACTTAGGTATCAGCTACACGAACAATCAACGTCTTACAAAACATTATCCAAACCTTAATCGTGCCACAGCCATTTCGCCAAACAGGTTGTTGGTCTAGGGAAAATGCCAAATAGTAAACAATAAAAGAATGCTATATAAGACTCTTTTTGAAGATCTCTGGGGAGATCTCATGGGGCGCACAAGAACTATGAGTGGATGACTTTCATCATTTCATGTAGGAAAATGTTACGATCCAATTGTAAGGTATTGAACTTCGAGTCCCACTTCGAAAACAAAAACAAAAATTAAAACAACACCCACAAGGCGAGGAGTCTTCCAAGTTCGGGGCTTAAAATATGGTAATTGCTTTATGGATTTATTCTGTGTCGTATATTAGCACCTTGCACTTTCCATGGTGAAGTTTCTGACGAAAGATACATTTGTAACGTGATTATGTATATATCCCCATTTCTAAGGGGAAATGAAGTAAAGTGCATTTCCCAGGAAAAAAAGAGTATTCGTGCATAAACCATCATTTTTTAGAACCCTTCCAGTTATATGCAGGAATTAACAGCTATGATAGGTATTTGCTAACACAACTCGCTATCAAGCAAACTGCAACTACCCATCTCTTCTCCACTCAGATTTCACAGAAGTACACAAACATAAGTGGACAAAATTATTTATCGACAGAAACAGTTCCTCTGAATTAAGGCCCACGTACCAACCTTGAGTCATTTGACGTAAAAGCAATATCAGAGAGACCTTTGTGTATTCTGGATCCATGGACTGTGGTTGTCTGTCTTGTTCTTAAAACCTGTGTTATGTAATTCAAGGGCAAAAAATTAGGTAGATAGCATGTATAAAATAACACCTGTGCTGCTGTAAATGACCAAATAAAAACACATCTTTGAAAAAATGAAATGAAGAAAAAATAATGAATTCTGAAGAAAGTAATTAATTATAGTAGCATATCCCCCAAAATCATGAGGATTAGAGCAATATGCGATTACGTAAATAGATGGGAGTCCTGCAATATGTGTCTGTTTCTGAGGGGCGTTAGTTTCCACTGTGTGTTGCCTGGTTCGTTTAAGTAAGCACAGACAAGGAATGGGCTGTATGGTATAATTCCAGCGCGCCTTATTTAAGGTAATGATTTGATCAATGTTGGAAAAGGTTCTTCTTTTAACTCTTAGCAATATATAATTAGACAGAAATTTCAGAATGCAGAACAATGCTTTAACAATAATAGAATTATGCAATAAGAAATTGATATCAAGTGAATTTGGGGGTGCATCAAGTATTGACAGTAGAAACATATTATAATTTTTGAAAGAGCTGGCAACATAATGTGAATGTAAACAAAATTTGACGGGAAAGTTTAGCAATAAATAAGAATGGAAACTAACTTCAACTGGTTCTGATGAGACATATCCCACATCAAATATAAGTAGTTCATTACTTTTTACAGATGCACAGACAACCTGAAATGAAAGAAGTAACATAAATAGTAGGGAAAATATAATATTGAATCGTCTGCAACAACAAAGCTATTATTAACGAATTTGACAAATCACTGGTCTCACAAAAAAAGCACAAGCACTAGTAAATGTGATAATTTCATTCGAAAAAAAGAGTCAAATTATCAGAAATTCAGAATACTATCCTTGACATATAACAGACGAGATACCACATAGGAAACTGGCAAGATAAAACCGAAGCATTTTACGTAGTATGTGGCGTAGATATTATTAGAAGCCCTCATCAATTTATAAATTTCATATTACGATACTGAGTAAGAAGGTAATTTAATTAAGTTCAAACCTCATCCTGGTTAAGCGGATTCCATCTGACGGTATCAAGTTGTCGATTTTGTGAGAGGTGCAGCAAATGCTTGCTTTCACATTCTTTCAAGCCTGCCATCTCAATTAACACAAAACCATTTATTAAAGAACAATACCACTTCATTTGAAATTCCTCCCTATCAAAGGAAGAAATAAATATGAAGCTACTTCAAAGTAAAGTAGCCAATACAACACCAAGAGTAGAAATAAACACTTTTTCCTTACTCTCCCAAAGAGTAGAAAAAAAGCATAAAAAATCCAAATTAGTAATTTAGTTCCACTTATAAAAAAGAATAGAATAACTGCAAGAGAAGAAACATGTTGGACGGACATATTCGGATGAAAAATAAATATCCAATTATTGAAGCCCAATAGTCAAGCTAATGGCATTATGGTCTAGTTTTTGAAACATAATTTAGAAGAGGAGAAACCTCACACAAGGAGCCTAACTTAAAAACAGATCGGCTGGCAAGAAAGTCAACAGGACATCTGCTCCTAATAATCTTTATCATTCTACAATTGATTAGTTAAATATTAATTAAATTCCGAATGCGACATATATGTCTCTGCTTTTATGGTGATTGCTGCATTAAGCTACAAAGAGAAAGCAATAGAGCAGATATAAAGGAAAAAACTTCTCAAGTGGAAAGTATTTACCAAGATTAACAGATGCAGGAATACTGATTATGAAACACTTGAATTCTAGTCTAATGCCCTAAAAATGAAAAGAGTCAATAGTTTGGTCAAAAGATACGGATTGTTTTGAAGAGCATAAAGCCATAAACCATTCTAGTACTAGTCTAACAAGTTTGATAAGCACAGCAGCATTTTGAAAATAAGCAACACACAAATACCAAAGCCAAACTTACAAGTTAATTCCTGTGTCTGGCAATAGAGAGCTTCAAAGTCATGAACCGTTAAGCAACCAGATTTTGTCACAGAAACCAAGTATATTCCCTAGAATACAGTTCAAAAATAGAAGATTTGAAATACTAAAGCTTTGGAAAAAAATAAAACAAAAAGATAATCAACAGCTTAATGAAATTAATATACTTCTCACAATGAATATAAAGATGCTAACATCAAAGCAACGTGGTGAATTGACATGGACAGAAGCATGCAAGAAATATAATCCATAAAAAAAAAAGTGATACATAAACAACAAAAAACGGAGGGTAAGATGGTTCTCAAACAGATGAAATTAGAATTACAAACAGTAGTAGCCAAACATGCTCGGAATAGACTACGGGAAATAATTTCTTTTTTTGTCAAAAGATCTCCAGGAAGCTTTTGATTAAAAGCATTTTTGGCCCCAAAAATAAGATAATCTAATCACACTACAAAACTTTTTTTTATTTTTTTTTGCTAAGAATAAAACTTTTACTTTTAGTATTGGCAAAACCTAGTAACTCCAATATTAATTCAAATGCTAGTTCTATTAAATTTAAGTATATCTGAATGTGGTGCTTTTCTTATTTTAGTACTTGTGAATTGGTTACTTTAGAAGCATCACAGTGACAATTATAAAATAGTTTTCACTTGGAACATGTAGCCTTTCAATTTGAACTTACCTTGTTGTCAAAGTCTACTGAAGGGATGCCTTGCCTGTTAACAAACCAATGTAAGCTATTTGTAGAGAGAAATCACCAACCCCATGAAATGCAATGCAACACAAACGAAACATTACATGTCCAACAGTTCATGCCAATGCTAACTACTAACTCAGTTCTTTTCCAAGGATGTATAAACAAAGTTCAATTACACCTATCATGAAAGGAACTACCAAGAATTAAGAAAAAAAAAACACAAAGAATACACACATATAAATAAACTTAGAATCAAGGAATGTTACAATAGAGATCACAACTAAGACAAAATGATCATGACAAGAAGTTTTCCAAAATTAAATGTTAAAACAACTCGACCTGATATGGCTTTTATCATTAGAACCATTCCAGATTTCAAACCATAATGAACAAACATCAACATAATTCAAAAGGAGTCATTAACAGGGCTTCGTGAGTACCAGGGGGAAGTCATGCCTCCCCCAAAGAATTTTGAAATCCAATGAGATATATGAGGGGGGAAAAATAAGATGGAGAAACATTGTCCATATTTATTTTATACTTTGCAAGTATTACTGTATTAGCATAATTCATATAAAGATAGGATGGAAAGAAGTGAAAATAGAGTGGACTTAACTGTAAATGAGTTTCACATTATTGCCATAAACCAACAAGTGTGCAGTAACATCCGTAGACTAACTGTCTAGTCAAATATATTTCTGTTAGTCTATAATTGCACCTAAGTTATAACTACAAGTGTGTGGCTATAATATTTTAAAGACTCAACGAATTCTGCATATACAACACTTTCAACATTTGTTATTGTAAATTAATTTACAAGCTAGGCCTTAACAGACAGCAAAAGTAAACAGGCAAAAACTCGCATTCAATCACACAAAGACTAGAGCAATTACAAATTGCAATATTTTTTTTATTGTTGTATCTTAACTCTTGTCACAAAACACACAAAGAAGTCAAAATACTGACTTCCGAAAAGGATGGAGATCACCATTTGCCTCACTAACAATTCGATTCATCTGTACAGCAAGACAGTAAAAACTTTCATTAAATTGAATCACAGCATTAGGAAATTCATGTGAAAAATACACAAAGTTATTAAAACATACATGAGATTGGCATTGAACCCCATCCACGTGGTACAAGTGCGGAAAGGCCCCAACCTTCACAAAAAATTAAGCAGAGCTTAAAAAACTCAGTTAGTCAACACGAACCAAAACCTAATAACCAAAACCCAGACGCACCTCAGAATAGGAACGAATAAGCAAATCCATCATCTCATGACGGTAGTTACGCTCGAATCTCCCATTTAGTTCAACGGAACACCGCTTCCAACGGCACCTTCGATAGTAACCAAAACAAATCTCAAGAACAATAGCAATTAACAGAAATTACAAAACCCGAAAAGATAAATTTACCTCCGAAGAGGCTTAACACTTTCAATCGAGGGTTTGAGAGGTACAAGGTATTTATCCATTTTCCCGCGCTCACTTCACAGATGCTGCGTTTGTGTGTCTGAGAAGCCAATCGTAAATACACAGTTTTCACTTCCTTCCCGCCGTATGAATGGGCTCAACAACAGTACTATTTTATTTTTGGGCCTCGCGGATAAGCCCAATAAACGAAAAATAATATTATATAAAAATTAGAGTAAACACACTTTTTAATCTCTGACAATATCTACGAAATCCTTTATAGTCGCAATACAAAAGGATTAAATTAATCCCTAAAATTATAAAAAAAAGGTCACGTTAGTCTTTATGTCAATTAATCCTTATATCAACTCCTCTGTCAGTTAAGAATCAATTTGATCTTTTTTTTATTTTATTGCCACTACAAAAGATTTCGTAAAAGGCCAGTTCACTCTGGAACTTTTAATATTTCAATTTATTTATTCTATCGAAACGAAATTAAAGCGAAAGCGAAACACGTCGAAATTAAAACAGATTAGAAAAAGCATGAACACATTTCTTCTCATAACATATGATGAATTAACCAACCACTTGAAAGGAAACGAGGAATTTCACATTCTGATGGAGAGATAAGATCAAATTACAATAAAAAAGAAAAGGCCTAAGAATGTGATATGGCTTTTACTACATATTACATGAACAAACCCTAAGCCCTCTCGCCCCTAATCCTACGAGCAAGCTGAATATCCTTTGGCATAATGGTTACTCTCTTGGCGTGAATGGCGCAGAGGTTAGTGTCTTCGAACAACCCAACCAGATAGGCTTCTGCAGCTTCTTGCAGAGCGGAAACGGCGCTGCTCTGGAAACGTAGATCGGTCTTGAAATCCTGTGCGATCTCTCTCACCAGCCTCTGGAAAGGAAGCTTCCTGATAAGAAGCTCCGTGCTCTTCTGGTACTTGCGGATCTCCCTCAGAGCCACCGTGCCGGGCCTGAATCGGTGAGGCTTCTTCACGCCTCCGGTGGCCGGCGCCGACTTACGAGCGGCCTTTGTTGCCAGCTGCTTCCTCGGAGCCTTTCCTCCGGTGGACTTGCGTGCGGTTTGCTTCGTACGTGCCATTCGAATCACAAAAGCTTATCGATCTCTTACTCGATGAAAGGAAATGTTTCGAACTGAGATGAGGAATTCGCTGTTGGTTGTGGCATTGGAAGATGAGGTAGTGTGTTTATAAGGTGGAGAGATTGTGAAATTTTGGGGCGGGAATTTTGAAATGTTTTTTTTTAAGGTTTGTGAAATTTTGATTGCGCCGCTCGTATGACCGTCGATGAGTGTGCTAATCAACGGATGTAGTTTTTCCTCAAGTGAAGCCACGGATCGTGATCCGTGACCCTAAAAGAGAACCAATAGCATCAAACATAAGAAAGACCCACAGACTACGGCTTAACACTTATTTGTTTAACATTTTAATTTTATTTTCTCTCTTTTAATGTTGGCTTCATTTTTTTTCTGGGCCGCAGCGCATGCTACTACAATACTGGCCCACATTTTCGTAATAAGGTCATAGCCTTCTTTTTATGTTGTGTAATAACTTTTCTTTTCATGCACAATAACATTAATAACATTATTTTGGTTAATGCATATTATTGTCATAACTTATTTTTAAAGTGTGTAAGTAGAAACATAGTTATTACTAATTCAATTTTAAAAAATTTGATTTTAAATTTATTTAAATTTTAAAACATATATATGTTCTTATTTATTTGTATTTATAGTAAAAACTAAAATTAGTTTTTCTATTAGCATATATAATTAACTGGTTGAGTGTAATTAACTCTATTAATTTGTTTGATATATAAGTTCATTTTTTTTTTTGGAAATATTACAATCGATTCATTATTTCGCAACTAATCCGATTCGGGACGGATCTAAGATTAGGGCTTTAAACCCCTCCCAAATGTGGTATTGGGGAGATTCGAACACATGCTCTCATCTCACCTGCTTAGCTCTCATACGCCAACTGAGCTACCACCATTTGGTATTCATTAGTTACTGAGTAACATGGTTAGAGTTTTATGGTGTGCTGATCAGCTCAATTGAGCCACCAATAATAAGGTTGATTCATACATTATGTATTTGTTTAAGAATCCTGATATGGAAAAAGCAAGATCTTTGTAGAAAACAAGTATAAAGATTAATAATGTATTCTCGGGAAGGAGGATGCATTGAATGGTTTACAACTATGTTTTGTCTTTTAAAGTTCAACTATTTGCATGTGTAAGTGAGATTGTCTTATATAGATGGTGATTTGTGTGATGAACCCTAGCAAGTTACATCGTGGTTGGTGGTGTCAAGCCAGTGATTGGTGATTGTGCAAGGATTTTAAGGGATTACATTTAAGACATTTAATTAGGGGTGTGTATGGATCGAATTGAAATGAATTTTTTAAAACACTGAATCGAATTGGTTTAAACAATTTGGTTTGATTCAGTTTGAAAACGGTTCGGTTCGATTTAAAACTAGTTCGGGTCGAATCTATTTTAAAAAAAAAATAAAAAAAGAAAAGAAATAAAGTAATAAAATGGTTCGGTTCGGTACTTGAATTGGTTTCTAAAAATCAGTTGGGTTCTTAAACTAGTTCTTTAAAAATCAGTTCGGTTAGTAAATTGATTTTCAAAAATTAATTATTTTAAGTGGAGTTTGGTTCAGTTCATAATTCACTTCACTTTTTTGGTTCTTTTGCACGTCCCTACATTTAATACTAGGTAAGGATTGAGTTATTATTTTATCTTTTTATTAATGAATGTAGCATGATTTTAGTAACGTCACGCATTAGTAAATTTCAGATTAGCCTTGTGTAGTACTTCATCATGTAACGTGTAAAGACGAATGCTGTAAAATCCGGGCCAAATCGATTGGTGCAACTCGAAAATTGGTAAATCTGTTATATAATCTGTTTGGATAGCACAGCTGATCCGACTGGTATGTACATGGTATATAGCTTATCCTTTTTTATCTATTTTGACAATTTAACCACAACAACAGAATGAGAATTTGTTTTATCGAGAAAACTCGAACTCGCAACATACTATTTAAGGATGAAAATTAATCTAATATCCATTTGGATTTGGATTCTTTTATATAAAAAAATGGTCACATTATTTAATCACAATCACTCATTGACGATAACATAATAGAGAGAAAATATATATAATTTTTAAATAAATAGTTATGATCAAATAACATGATCACTCCAAATTCTATCCATTCAATTGATAAGATGATTTAAATACAATGACAAAATTCACAAGTAATTATCCACTAACATTATACTTATAACTACCCACCACTACCTACGGTTACTAAATGTAGAAGAATAACTCAAATACAACAACTATATAATGCAATAAAACAACAACAAATGGATATGCAGAAGAACCGATATGACCCGTGCAACTCGGCTGAGTTTTGTTAAAACCACTGGTCACTGAGTTGGACCAGTCCTTGTCGTTGATGGCTAAGGACACAAATTTTGTCGGATGGCTCCTTCTAAAGGACGGTGCAATTGGCCATGAACGATGGTTGGCGTTGGAACTAGTGGAAAAAAAGCTGAGCCACTCATTTAACTCACTAGAGTCAGTTATGGACTCCATGATTGGAGTGGCTGTGTAAGTTAGTTAACGGAAGTGGAGAAAAGAAAACCCAAGTTTATCTCCTGTACAACTTTTGGGAGGAATTTAAAGTCTTAATCCTGAATCCGTCTTGAATCGTATTAGTTGCGAAGCAATGGACTGATTGGAATATTTCCAAAAAAAGAAAACCCAAGTTAGAATGACTAAAATGCTACAACAACATAGAAGAAAGCAATAAAAGATGGTGGTGAAATGAAGCAACATAGAGAGAAAAAAGAGTGTGAAATAAGGAAGTGGGTGACTTGATGTGTTATTAGTTTTTGAGATGGTGGCCCAATGGTTATATCAATCACCCAATACCCCGATTGAGTCCATGGCGATAGCGGGTTTATAACATTGGTAAAGACAACTTTTTCCATTTGGTAACTTCTATTTCATTCCTTCTTTATCGATCTTCTCTCTGGTTTTCTCTTGTCTTACCATGCTTCGCAACGCTTATTACTTATATTCTTTTGCTAATAATCACTATTGAAAAAGAAAAATGGTGGTAAGCCGCTAAAACAAAATTGGCAGCCTACGAACATGACAATAGACTAGAAGCAACTCGTAGATTCAGATATCCTTATTGACTACTACTGGCTGGAATGTGCTTTGTCATCAACATTAATGAGTCTCTCAACTAGAAGAAACCCTTTCAAAAATATGAGCACTGTTGTATTGTAGGTGCAGACCAACCATTTTTTTTATATATATTTATTGTTTATTTCAAACCAGAAGCTGATGCCGAAAGCGCATAGAAAATTAGCTAAACAGAAAGTTGGGATTTTATCAAAAGAGTAACCCTTCAGTTCTCAATTTCTAATTATCAAAATAACAAAATTCAACTCCTAAAATAAGGGTCATAAGCACCCTTTTATAGACTAATTACTAATTGATTCAAAATTCAAAATTCTAAAAATAAGGAAAATTCCTAAATTAAACATAACGACAACTAACCTCTAAAAATAAATAAATAATTACAATTAAATCATTCAAAATACTTCCCAAATCTTATATCTCATATCATGTCAAATGTGTTGCTTTCCTTTTCTTGTCAAACAAATCACAATAATATTTTATGCTTCATTTAGACTTGGGTTTGATTGTAATTTGTTATATTTCAAATTACCGCTTCTTTTAACAATTTGGCCATATTTATTGGCTCACAATTCTGGTTAACTCTGGACTTCCTGAATCAATAGTTGGGCCATGTGCAATGGGCTAACTGTAAGTGCATCAGAAGCCACTGAAGAGAAAATTCCTTGATATTCATGCAGTAGTCGCATTCATATAACTCTAGTCATCAGGATTCCAAATGACAAGAAAGACACAAAAAAAGGCCATAATTTCAACAAAGCAATTCTAAAAGGTTTATTCTGCTTTTCTGTTAACAAGCTAATGAAGCAAAAGAAACTCTAAACCTTACAAAAGGAAGGAATGGAGCAATACATATTTATATTCTGTATGTACAAAAAGAAAACAAGGTGGGAAAAAAGAAAAACTCGGTATGTTGTATGATGTATATCATATTCATACCCATTTGCCGGACAAGGAGAAGTCATGGAATCTGAATGAGACATCCCCAGCTGTGTCCCTCTCAAGCTGCATTGGCTGCGAACCATCACTGATGAAATCACCTTGATCAGATCCTTCATGGGGTGAAAATGGCTGTATTTGATTCTCATTTGGATGGTGTGCCAATTGAATTTCAGGTGGTAATGGCAACACAGAGGGAGACAAAGCCTTTGATTTTGTACTTCCTCCACTTGAAGAAGCCAATGCTCGGTCCCAAAGGAAGACGTGCATGAGAATAGGAACTTTGGTGTGTCTATGCAAGGAGAGTTTCTGGCTCAATGAAACTGTGTCATAACACCGCATGGCTCCTGTAGAAGACACCATCCATGGAAGGACTCTTTGATTTGAAAGCCTTGAAACTACCAACAACCTTGAAGTATCTGTTGCTGCTTTATACAGATTGCTAAGCCCTGAACGTGTTGCTGGTAGATTTTCTTGACCATCATCAATAGCTGATGAAATGAAAATAAAACCCTGTTGACACACAGAAAATTATTAGCTAGAACCTTCAAAGATAAAACAGCACGTTTAACAATATAAGCACATGCAAGATATAGAGAAAGTGAGAAACCTCTTCTGTACGACTAATGGCAAAGCCAAGCTTTGTGTCATCCTCTTTTAGTTTTATCTCAATTGAGAACTCTCCTCCGGTTGGAGCATACCATAGCCGAATTGCTCTAACAACACCAATGTCTACTCCATGATAATCCTCAAAGCCATAAAGGCTTACATTTGCAAGGTTAGATAAGTCAGATAATGACCCTGCATTCACAGTAGAAGAAGCTGTCTCTCCAGATATCTGTAAACACAAATAAAAGAGAAACTCCACATATCACAGAGTGCAAAAAAAATAAAAAAACAGCCAAGAATAGAGAAACCATTTTCTCAAATTAACACAGTAAATGTTTGGCAGCCTCCAAGTATACACGAAAATGATAAAATTCATTGCAAAATATGAGGAGGTATCTAACTTGAAGAAATGATAAGGACTCAACTTTAAAGTTTAGACACAATAATCATTTTATGGTTGATGCAGAGGAGTTTTCTCCCCAATTCTGAGGCAATGAATGAAAATTCTTTGTCATAAGAGAAAATCCACAGTATAGCTTTGGTGTCAGAGCTATTATGATACCATCTATGGTTTCTGATTGAATAAGAAGACAATGAACTTCATTACATGCAAAGTGGTGCAGCTAACTAACTAGAAGCAGTAAACAACTGCTGTAAACTGACTAATAACTAACAGCTGAGTAACAGAATCAGTATGCTCCTCGTATGGATCAAGTGTGGTGTCTGATTAGGCCAAAGATTAATTGTGCATATCAAGTGACCAATTGGAAAAATAAATAAATATATATATATATATATGGCAAAATGATTTCTGCAGCTACTGTACCTACAGCAAGCAAGGATCCGCGTCCGGATCCTAGGATACGGCAACGGATCCTGAGTTTTTTTTTTTTTTTTTTTTTTTAAAAAAGCCATGGGGCCCACTTTTCTGTGTCAGCTGTAGATAACACTATCTACGGCTGCTGCAGAAATGTTAAGCCCTATATATATATATATATATATTAGAGATAATAGTAATAAAGCCATTGCGTTATGATAGAATGCCACAACCCTATGTTTTCTTGTGATTAGGGAATTGATCGTTTACCTTAGTAAGTAGGGACTCAGTTTGGATGTTCATAAAGAGAATAGGGACCCCTGTAGCTTGAGCTGCATTGAGCCATGCATTTGCCCTGGCTAAGGTGTCCTCAACATCATTGTAGCGAGAAGCTACCCTATCTGAAGCTTTGGGAAGAAGTAATATGGAAAAAAAGCTGCTAGAATTGGGAACTGATAGCAACTCCTGCATCCTTCTCTCCCATGGATACGACACATATCCATCCTGTAATCTGGTCTTGGATAGCTCATTTACCATCCTAGTGCTCCTTGATGCTGCAGAGTGCATTATTGTTTACAGATTAGATGAAGATATCAGAAAGTAAAAAAAAAAAAAAAACTGCTGACTGAATAAAATAACAGTGGAGAATTAGCCTTGCCCAGATGGAGAGGTTGAAACCAAGCACAAATTAAGGTCAATGCAAGATGCATAAATGTTGCTGTTGTTCTGAGATTGAGTGTTCAGTGTTAGAAATTTTAATTAATGTTTTAGTATTTACTAAAATAATCGGATTAATGGATATTTCAATTTAATATGTTATAATAAGCCTATTATGATAATGTTTGAGTTGGGCTTTTGGCATCTATTAGTATCGGGCTTAGTTGGGCAGCACAATGTAGGCAACAGTGTCTGATTGGGTTTCTGTGATGGGTGAACTCCTCAGAGACATTGTTGATTAAGGTTTTGCTAGATCCCCTCTCTAACCTATTTATATTGGGGTTAAGTACTATGAGCCGTCATGCTCCCCTCGCTGAGGATGCCACTTTCGAAATAAGTTATAAAGAGAAAGATCCTAGCATGTGGTCCTGTCTTTCCTCCAACTTTGTAATGATCCAACAAAGTACACACAATCCCAACTTTGATTTCATATGGTTTGGTATTTTATAATCAGAAGTTAATGCAACCTTACAAGACAAAGACATTGGCAGAAATATTGAATACTTGGTATAATAGCAATTTTTCCACGGTTTATCGTATGTGATAAGCAATAGACTCTGCAGCGACAAACATACATAGAATATGGTAAAGGGAAAATGGAGACTTTTGAAACTTAGGGAAAACCAGGCCTGGCCCCAAGGTGTAACTAGACTGTGTTTAATCAACGCTAATGACTATTACGTATGTCTCAATATTTATTATTCCATATTACTGCCATAAGCAACAACAACCACAAGTGCTCAACTTATTTACTTTCCTTATCTTCAAACTAATTTTAAGAGATGTGAAACAAAAGCAGGTTCTAAAATGATATATAACGAAAAGAGGACAAGGATAATGGAAATTAGGAGAACCAAATGTCGACATCATTCACAAAAGGAAGTCATGAATATCACGCAACTTGATGCCTGAATCTAGCAAAAGTTGGCAGCTTTCAGATGAGAAGTTAATGCCTCAAATAAATATCATTTAATAACGGAAATAAGGCTTCGATCAAATATTGAATACTTGGTATAATAGCAATTTATCCTCTCTAATAAAAGCAACAAGAGGGGTCACTCAAATTTGTGAGAGGTTGTAAATACTAATAACTATTTCCCCCCAATAAATATAATGCGTCCTTAAGGAAAACGAGAGAGAGAAAGAGGATGTTTAAAAAAAAAAAAAACATTATATGATCATTTGGACAATCATAACCACAAAAAAGTTAAATCAATGATTATGATTTAATAACTACTTATTTTAATATATTTTTTTTCTCTTCTTTTATTACTATTGATCCACCTTTGTATAGTTATAATTGTTCATGTCTTTTTTAACATGAGAGAATCCACTCACAAGAAGAAAAAGAGAGAGAGAGAGGGGACCTCGCTCACCAACCAAACCAAGGCAAGAACACAGTACAATATCTGTATGCTACTATTTTCCGGTGGCTATTGCGCTACCAATTAGTTATTACTTAGTTAAAAAAAAAAAATATACATGAATGAATGAATTGATGTAATGTAACCACCATGTGTCGGCTAATTAATAAACCAAAGCAACAAAATACTATTACAAAATCAATATCTTTCTTAATCCTTGGAGGTAAATTCGTTACGAGTGTGACATATCGTCAATTCATCTACATGTTCATTCATTCAATTAAACTCAAGAACAAACACCTCATATTATTCTGGATCCACATGATAGGTTCCACAATCTCTAGCAGGGAAGATAAAATTAATAGATATCTTCGTGTAAACCTTATCTAAACATAAAAAGACACTTCCTGAATCCTAACATTTCATCCCTTGATATTGTCTCTTCCATAAATTGAACATCGGTACTGTGAGTGGGAATCGAACCCACAAACACATAGAAATTTTGATGTTTCAAAAAAATAAAAAAATAAAAAGCATTGGTTTGCAGAAGAAGTTAAGTTAATTTTAGAGAACCGTGCATTGAACTCGTTGCAAGAAAGTCATGTAAAGGAATTGAAACCTGAAAGTGCGGGGATAAACAACTTGGGATGTTAAGTTAAACTAACTCGATCATTAAACTATTCAAGCATGTTGTAATTTACAGAACAGACAATGAGGAAAACAAAAACAAAAACAAAAACATTAAGCTGAAAAGTCAAAAGCGAACCAAAATCCAAAAAAAAAAAAGAAAAAAAAAAGAGGAAGATGAAGAGTAATAATACGTACCTTGAAGGTGGAAGCATTCAGTTTCGGTTCGATCCAAGAATCCAACAACGTAGTTGGGATCAGAGATGGACCTGAGAACGTACTGTTTCTTTCCGTAGGAATCGTTGGGGACAATACAAGCCTGCAACTCGGCGAACTCATCGGATCCTCGGCGAACCAGGACGAGGATCGATGTCTCCTTCTTCTTGTAGGAGTCCTGAAGGATCTTGTTGACGCCGGTTCGACCGTTCTTGAAGGGCGATTTGAACCGGATCAGTGAGTTGGTCGAGCCACCGATTCGGAGTTCTTCAACTATATCACCGGTTTGAAGCATGTCACCGGTCCACTCGTCGGCTTTTGAACTTCCTTTGAGGCATTCGATGGATAACACTCTTGAGTCTCGTGAGGGTGAGTCTGAACTGCTCTCAGACATTCGGTCCATGGTCATGTTGTTCTTCTTCTTCTTCTTCTTCTTGTTGATCACTGTGTCTCTTCTTTTTCCTTTGTATTTGATTATATTTCACGTAGTTTAACCAGGGAAGAAAGAAAGACAACAACTTTTACTTAGAAACACGGTGTGTTGCACGCCCTTTATTCCTTCCCTTTCTTTTCTTTATTTATTTGGATTGAACATAGAGAGACATAGAGAGATTTGAGTTTTCGTGTTTGTTGGGGTGTTGTGTTGTAAAAGAGATGGAAAAGTCACATATTTCTTGAAGAAGTTCTTTTTTTCATATATTTTTTTGTAGTTTCGTAATTAATTCGATTTAAAGTTGATCTTGAGATTAAGACTTTACATTCCTTCCAAAAGATAATAATAAGAGAATCGAATAGATGCTCTAACTCTCACATGCTCACTTCTTTGTAGGGGTGTTCGCGGTCTGGATTGGATCGATTTTGGAAGCAAAAATTTTTCGATCTAATCTCTTCGGTTTGATCATGTAATCATCTATTCGGTTTGATTTTTTTTTCAAATCCGATCCGATCTAATCCAATTTTTTTCGGTTTGGATTGGATCGGTTTTCGATTTTTGAAAATCTTAAAATTTATTTCATGATTATTGTGCAAATAACATCTTTTGTATATATTGATTTTGTAATTTTATTTTTTTAAAATATAAAAGTATCATTAAACGATAATATAGTTTTTTCTTTTTTGGCAATGAGATATGAAGCTCTACACAAATTAAATTTTGTTAATAAGATGTGACTAGTCTTTTTCTTGAGTTTAGTTGATAGGTTAATGAGTCTTTGGTTTAGAAATTTTTGGGCTAGGATTGAGAAAAAACCCAAGTAAGTAGAGAAAAATTAATATATTGGATCAGTCTGGATTGGATCGGTTTTCATTGACCAATCCGAAAACCGATCCAATCCAATTAAAATTTGCAGTCTTTTTTCGGTTTTCGAATTTTCGGTTTTTGGTTTATTCGGTTATCGGTTTTTAGGTTCGGTTATTGCGGTTTGAATCAATTTGGATCGATTGATGAACACTCCTAGTTCTCTGCACTAATTAAGTTACCATCATTTTTTATTTTTTATTTTTTTAATAATGGAAATGTTGAAGGAGTTTAAATGGAACCTGTCTATATGAAATTGCAGAAGATTGAAATGTATTGTATACTATAGTGTTTGCAATTTACAAGCCAAAAAGTCAATAAAATTCTAGAGGTTAGTAAATGCGAAACCAACTTCTGTGATTTTTCGTTTTATATTACAAATTGGAATGTGGATTGAATGATTAATCCACGGGCAATCTATACTTCGTGGAAAAAGATTCTTTGCTTTTCGGCTGGGACCATCTTTCCTCCTAAAATCTAATCATCTGAATGTATAATAAATTAATAATTACATATTTTGAAGGTTTTCGGCAGATTGTACTTGAATTGAAATTTTTTTCATTTAAATTTTAGTATATTGGGGTAAAGGGTTTGAGTTCACTAATTAAGAAATTTTAGTAATGTCAAAAATTCAAGTTCCTAAAAAAGTAACTAGAAAGAATGTAATCATAATATTCCATTGATTAATCTTATATTCAACTGTGAGGGGGTAAAAATTGATGATTCTGTTATCAAAAATAAAAATAAAAAATTGATGATTCACTTTGCTTAATATGTTCAACTTTCTGATGATCAAAATAAAATTTTTTGGAGACACGTTCACCAAATTATGAGAATTTTGCTTCTCATTACCATGACCAACTTTTAGGTAGGCTAATATGTACTTTTTGTTGTACAGATATTTTATAAACAAAATACAAAATATATATATATATATATATATATATATATATATATATATATTTAAAAGTCAATGAATAAGGCACAAGCCATGGAAAAAAAATGTTTTTAAAACAACATAATTATTTCTTAAAATATGCACTTTTGACAAACAACAATAACAACTAGTGCAACTTCTATATAATACATGGTAAATATTTTATATATATATATAATTGTGGAGATAGGATATTGTGACAACTAAATAATGTTACTACCAATGTTACTACCACATCTTAACCCTTGATTTATGCTAATCAACGATTATTATTTTTTAAATCAAACTAATTAATTAATTATTAATTCGCAATAAATGATAACCGTTGATTGGCGGAAATCAACGATTAAGATGTGGTAGTAACATTATTTAGTTGTCACAATATCCTATCTCATCATGGATACACAAATTGGATCCAAGGAATAAATAGAATAGCATTTGTATGTACACAATAATGTTCAACGCCAGTAAATTTAGGAACTAAATTCAATATCATATCACATTTAAGTCTTGCACATGCATCAATATGAAAACAATTCAATGACTATAAACAGCATATACTTCAGCAACGCAAATGGAGTCGGACTTATATTTCTCAAGCCCACAATCAAAAGGTTTGTGTAGGCGTAGTTTTCAGTAAGCAACATATATTGACTACAAAGAAATGTATAATCGGGAATAATCTAGTAAAGCAAGAATATTTGATTTTGAGTTGAAAATAATTCAATTCAAGTTCGTAGCCAATTCTAGTTTTTCAAAAGTTGGAGGGTTCCACAACCAAACAGTTTTAAAACTTGACTCAGACAATTCTTATTCGCAAATTCGGCCCCACCCACGTTTTTTTAAATAATAATATTATTAATCATTCCACCGGTATATATAAACTATTTTTTTTTCGGTAAACATAAACTATTATATATTTTTTTGGTTGTCTAAACTATTATATATATATATTTTTGGTAGTTAAACTATTATATTTTACTTGTGTAGTTGTGTGTAACAACCGATTGAATTCTTTTTTAAAACAAATATTTATGTTTTTTGTTTGGGGGTGTGAACATAATAATATAATTCAAGTTGAGTAGTGCGTTAATTAAAATTTATTCGATTCGAGCAGATGCTAACTCCATGAATTAAGTTGAACTAAACTGACACACTTTCATTTTTTTTTAATATAATACATTGGTTCATCGATTAATTAGTTTAATTCCAGCCGGGTATACATCTTTATTTCTAAACTTCCACATAAGTTTTTTTTTTCAAAAAAAAAAATCCTAAAAATTTATAATTTATTTAAAATGATGATCTGAAAACTAACTTCAAGGAAGAGCATTTTGGGACGAGGTGTGTACATAAATGTTCCAAATGTTACTAGACATTCTTATTTTTATTGGACCATTTGTATTTATATGCATTATATTGTGATTTGCAGCCACGTGCTCTAATCCTCCGAACTACAGATCTCATCCCGTCTCTCGACGATTTATGAGAAGTTTTCTTATAATATATTTTAGATATTTGTATTTGTTAGTCATGTAGATACTCGCACAATATCTCTTATTCACATATCCGCACCGGTTCACTATTTCTTGAAGTTCGATCTCTCCCTTGGAGGAACCATAGTTTTGGTTTGTATATTCGTAATGATATCATGAGCACTTTGGACGCAATTGAAGCAAGCTCAAATTGACATAACATGAAATCTATTAATCCGAGAGCATGTTTGGATGAGTTTTTTGTTATGAAATATTTTCATATCTTAACCACCTACCCAAGGATCCCTTAAAGAATAACTACCCAATTATCCTAACAATATAAAACAGTAAGGCTGCTAAGGATAAAGTCTCTATCCCAACAAAAAGGAAGCTAAATCATACTACAACTAGGAGATCTACACAAGCCCAAGAGATAACCCTTATAAATAAGAGGTTAAAGAACCTAGGTAAATACTTTGAACTCATTTACTACTTTTGCCACCACTGTGCACACATCCACGTCTCGGCTATAAGCCTATTGCTTGTGCGCAGTGATGGGGATATTGGCTATAAGCCAACCAAGATACCTATCCATAGGATATCTCTGAGCGCATACCCTTGAGGTATCATTATACGGTTTAATAGAACCGAACATTGGCGCCGTCTGTGGGGAATCGTAAAGTTCGATTCCCACCCAACTATAGTGAACATGCAGAGCATAAGCGTAAAGCCACGGATAATCACCGCGGTAGCAAGAAAAGCGCTGCCACAACCAAATATTAATACAATGGGGCTCACCATGAAATAAAAATGCATGAAGGGCGATCGTTGTGCAAGAAGCTCAAGAACCCCAATGCCAACGAGAATTTCCGTCTCTACAAGACCACGGCATAAAAAGCTGGGTTCAGATTAAAAAAGCCTCCGCGAAAGAAGCGAGGCTCAAATTAAAATATCACGGTGTAAAAAGCCTGGATCAGATAAAAAAGCCTCTGCGAAAGAAGTGGGGCTCAAATTAAAAGACCATGGCATAAAAAGCCGGGTTTAGATTAAAAAGCCTCTGCGAAAGAAGCGGAGCTCAAATAAAAAGACCACGGCATAAAAAGCCGGGATCAGATAAAAAAGCCTCCGCGAAAGAAGCAGGGCTATAAATTAAAAGACCACGGCATAAAAAGCCGGGTTTAGATTAAAAAGCCCCCGCGAAAGAAGCGGGGCACAAATTAAAAGACCACGACATAAAAAGCCGGGTTCAGATAAAAAAGGCCAACAAAGGGCTTCAAGTTTAAAAGCTCAGCCTTGAGCTTCAACTCAGCCCAACAAAGGGCTTCAAAATTATTAGCTCAGCCTCAGCCTTGAGCTCAGCCCAACGAAGGGCTTCAAGTTTAAAAGCTCGGCCTCAGCCTTGAGCTTCAACTCAGCCCAACAAAGGGCTTCAAAATTATTAGCTCGGCCTCGGCTTTGAGCTCAGCCCAATGAAGGGCTTCAAGTTTAAAAGCTCGGCCTGAGCTTCAACTCAGCCCAACAAAGGGCTTCAAAATTATTAGCTCAGCATCGGCCTTGAGCTCAGCCCAACGAAGGGCTTCAAGTTTAAAAGCTCGACCTCAGCCTTGAGCTTCAACTCAGCCCAACAAAAGGGCTTCAAAATTATTAGCTCGGCCTCGGCCTTGAGCTCAGCCCAACAAAGGGCTTCAATTTTAAAAACTCGGCCTCAGCCTTGAGCTTCAACTCAGCCCAACAAAGGGCTTCAAAATTATGAGCTCGGCCTCGGCCTTGAGCTCAGCCCAACGAAGGGCTTCAAGATTAAAAGCTCGGCATCAGCCTTGAGCTTCAACTCAGCCCAACTAAGGGGTTTAAATTTATTAGCTCGGCCTCGGTCTTGAGCTCAGCCCAACTAAGGGCTTCAAATTTATTAGCTCGACCTTGAGCTCAGCCCAACGAAGGGCTTCAAGTTTAAAAGCTCGGCCTTAGCCTTGAGCTCCAACTCAGTCTAGTGAAGGGCTTCAAATTCATTAAAAGCTCGGCCTCATCCTCGAGCTTCAACTAAGTCCAACAAAGGGCTTTAAAATTATTAGTTCGGCCTCGACCTTGAGCTCAGCCCAACGAAAGGCTTCAAGCTTAAAAGCTCGGCCTTAGCCTTGAACTCCAATTCAGCCCAATGAAGGGCTTCAAGATTAAAGCTCGGCCTCAGTCTTGAGCTTCAACTCAGCCTAAGCCATAGCTTCAGGCTCCGAGATCAAAATGAAGATAGAAAAGGAGAGATGTGCTCTTAAGAAAAGTATCACACCCCAATCTGAGATAAAAATGAAGACGGAATTGGAGAGTTGTGATCCTAGCCAAAGGATTACACCCCGATTCGAAAAAAGAAGAAGAAGAAAGATAGAATTGGAGAGATGTGATTTTACGAAAAAGGATCACACCCCAATCCGAGAAGATGAATTTGGAAAGATCGTGATCCTAGAAAAGGATCACACCCCAATTTAAGATAAAAGACAAATCGAGACGGTATGCGAAGCCGGGCTCAAACAAAATATGGCAAAAAGTCTAGAAAAGCCACAGTACGTTAAGCCGGGCTAAAATCAGAAAGGCAAATATACTGCCTTCAAAAGTGTAGGCAAGGAAAAAGCCAAGTCAATTTAAAGAAAGCTATGGTATAAGAAGCCGAGCTCAAAGTCAAAAAAAGGCAAACACCGCTTCACCACTCAGAGACTTCAAGAGAAAAGAAGCCAATATAAAAAGCTAAACCAAGAAGAGGTAGTCGCACCAGACCCAAGGCAGGATCATAGTACCTCAGTAGGGTCGACCTATCAATCAAACTTAGGCACCCCAGCAGTCCGAGCTTCCGAACTGCCGGGCTGGGGGGCAACTGTTATGGAATATTTCCATATCCTAATTACCTACCCAAGGATCCCTTAAAGGATAACTACCCAATTATCCTAACAATATAAAAGGATAGAGTCCTTATCCCAACAGAAAGGAAGTTAAATCATACTACAACTGAGAATCTACACAAGCCCAAGAGGTAACCCTTATAAATAAGAGGTTAAAGACCCCAGGTAGATACTTTGAACTCATTTACTACTTCTGCCCACACTGTGCACACACCCACGTCTCGACTATAAGCCTATTACTTGTGCGTAGTGATGGGGATATTGGCTTAAGCCAACCAAGATACATATCTATAGGATATCTCTGAGCGCATACTCTTGAGGTATCATTATACGATTTAATAGAACCGAACATTTTTATTAGAAAAAAACTATTTTATTTTAGAAAAAAAATTATTTCTACTATAAAGTTCATTCGGATATCTGCTTTTAAAAAAGTAGAAGTAAAAAAAAGTTAAAAATTTGTTTTTTTTATAAGTTAAAAATTTTAGCTTCTAGAAAAAATAAAAGTAAAAAACCAAATAACTTTTTTAAAATGTAAATAACTTTAACTTTTAAAAAAAAATATTTCTAAAATAAATAAGGCATAATTTTTTTGTTTTGTTTACAAGCATCCAAACCGGCTCGACTTATTATTACATGAGCTGGATAAACTTTTTTTGTGAGTGTTTGACCAAACAAGAGTAGATTGCGAGATACCACGCGCGCCGACTTCTGATTGGTAGGTGGTCCGTACACTCCAATGACATTGCAAATGTGAAAGCGTCACCCCCACAAGGCCACAACGTTGACGTTTGGTCCCACTTCCAAGCCACGACAAATTTACTCTAGTTATTAACTGTTAACTATTATTATTATGGATTTTATTAGTCTCATTTCACATATAAGATAGTAATCTTATGTTGTAGAGAGAACATAGGTGGGTCTCACCATTTCAAGAAAAAAAAAAAAATAAAGTGTGAAAATCAAAATGAGAGAACACGAGATATGTTATCTTATGCAAAATAAGAGTAATATTTCTCTTGATTATTATTATTAGTTATCAATTTTTAATAAAAGCAAGCAGACATCCTCCCCTTGTTCTTCATTGGAGCACGAATTCCACTCGTTCGAGGGATGAGGGCAAGCAATAGCTGTAACCATCAAAATTTATTAAAAAATGAGTGAGTGAGGTTAGCAAGGATGATGATGATGATTGACGAGAAAAGAGTCAATGTCATGATGATGGAGAACTCATAAAGGGTTTTGCCCAAACACACTCTAGGCCCAATCCATAATGGGAAACCCAGTTCACCATTCCAAAGCAAATTCTAAAACTCCCTAGCTCCCTTCTTTCCTAGATTAATAATTGCGAATTGATGTTGTTGTTTTCAACTATTTGACCACGTGATTGTATGTGGTCTCTCATTTAGAATTTGGCTAAGTTGTGGTAGTTTTTTTTTTTTTTTAGTATATAGTTGTGGTTGTTTTCGGTACTACAGTAGCAGGAACATTTTTTTCCAAATAGGGATAAAAAATTATGACTTAAAAGAAATTGAAATAGAAAAAAGGATATGAACTCAAACGAGATAAAAAATTTCCTTATTTAGAAAAAAATGCATCGAGTTGAATACTCTGTGTTAAAAAAAATAAAATCGGTAGTTCAGAACTGTCCTAAGCCTAGTCAAGGCGGAATTGGGCCCTGCTGTCTAAGGACATCCGTGAATATATTCAGGACTAATACCACTCGATTTGGAGGGTACCCTTTATTTATTATAGTTTTTATATTCCTAATTGTCATGGACCTCACAAAGACCCATATTCTAGAAGGACCAATAAAGGACAGCACAAAAGGAAGGGAATCTCCTATTGATGACAATCCTATCCAGACAGCTAAGCAGTTGGACTTGAGCCCCCAATATTCCTAAGAGGCCCAGAAGTACACTCCTTCAAGTAACTCATCTATAAATAAGGGGTTAAACTAATAAGGTACACTCTCTCAAAACCCTCTCTCTTAGCTTGTCACTGTGCACACACCTTACGTCTTGACTATGTCGATTATTATTGTGCACAGTGATCGGCCTACCCTCAAGGGTATCTCATTCATAGATACTTGAGATAGAGCACCTAGATCCTACATAAAATATACCAGCCACCGGTTGGACATCTCTGTCTTTCAAACAGAACATTAATCCTTCAGCTTCACGTTTAAACCAGACAATAATTTGGCAGAAATACAAGAGATACAAAATTGCGAAGATATTAAATTATGGAGAAAAAGTTTGTGCTTTTAAATGATACAAGTTATTTCATTTCACTCTCGTAAAGGGGTGAAATCCACAACTTTAATTTTTTTTTTTGTCCACTACCTCTCCCTCCTTATCTATTCTTTTCTCTCACGAAATGACATAAATTTACCTTCTTTAAAATAACATATTTTTTTCTTAAATTATTTGTGAACCAGTGTACGATTTTAAGTTTTAACTATTGACATGATTCAAAATCACTTACTCGTTACTATAATATAACCTACTCTTTATGAGCAGTTCCACCCTTAGCTCCACTAAGAGATCGTCTTTTGCTCTTTTTCAAGTCTCCACGAGCTGACAATTGATATTGGCTCGAAGAAGAAGCTGCATTAGGTTTCCGATATGTTGAAATTTCTTTAAAAGGAGCCACTGATCGAGATTTCTCTGAAGAACTGAAGGGTTTTACTGGTGCAGATTTCTTACCAATTGCTAAAGCAGAACTCTGGTTCAAGCCAATGAGATCAACCGTTGCAGCCAAATCTTTTGCATTTATTACTGGAGCACTATCTGAATCGGAAGAGGAAGGGCTAGTAGTGCTCTCCATATCATAAAGGAGATTATCTCTCATCTTTGGCAGGTGGCCACCATTTTTGTCACTGGCAGAGAAGGAGGGTCGATTAAGTCTTGAAAGTTGCACAACCTGATGAATAGTCAAAGAGACATTTATGTAAGAAAAAGTTCTGATTAACATACAATAATTGCATCTTGTTTAATACACCGTGCTTTGAGAGTTTGATGTAATATAATGTATTTTTTACATTATATATCAAATCCAAGGTTTTGGGTCTGGCTTCTTATCATGCCATGCCAAAGATGTTGGCATCCCATCCGTAATATAATAACAAAGTAAAATGACAATTAATCAACTTACAGATCAACATCAAACTGATGCATCACAATTATTTATATCACCACCTCATATACACCGGCGTCTTACCTTTTGTTCTAGAAACACCAAGTCCTTCTTTAATTTTGTAATTGTCGTATTCTTCCTACGTAGAATGTCTTCCAATTCAGCAACCCTCTGTTTTAAACAGAATAAGTGATAAGTGGATTAAACCAGGGGAAATCTTTTTTTGCAACTTACACAGATAAAATGCAAATGAGTATTACCTTGGAATTAGCAACCTCAGAAGAGTTCAGCAGAGTGGTTAGCTCCTTTATTGTGGTATCCTTCTCTTCCGAATCTCTCTTAAGATTATAGATGTCTTGTTCTACAGCCAAAGTGTTTAACTACGGACAGCGCAAGGTGTGATGAAGGTAACAAATGTAAGAAAAGAAAAAATAGATTTGCAACCAATATTTAAGTGATGGAATTGATAAAATTACAAGAAAACCAGGTAAAAGAAGAGTAGCCGCTCAGCTGTACAAGATAACAATATGATGCTGCAATTACAATTAACTGTGTGTCTATGTCCAATAGAACAATAGTTAAAGCCTTTAGTTCCAAATATTCTAATTCCAATTAACGCCAAGGCCATGTAATGCAATTAACGAGTAAGAAACTACAAAATTGTTTGATGAGAACTCCTTTTCATCAATTTATATTAAGGGTGACAGATAGCCTGAATAATGGATGCACGGATGATAGAAAGATCAAGATCAAGATAGCCTGAGAAAATAAACATTTCAAGTACTCAATCAGCCAAAATTGATAAGATTAACAGCAATTAATTTGGTTGGTTACAATAACTCAAAGAGGTAACTATTTGTAGCGCTAAACTAAAAAACTGGAAGCCCAAATTGCAAAAAATATCTAAAAAGCGAACGTTTGAAACAAAGCTTATTATATGCAACTCAATTTGCGTGCTGCTCACGGTAAACATATGATGTATAGGTTTGCAAAAATTAGAAGATGCTGCTCATAATAAAAGATTAGAGGCCACTCTGCCAACAAGTTTGCAAAAATTAGAAGATGCTGCAGTGCATTGTATACCACTACATATTTGTAATCTGCTCTTTTTAACCGAGAGGTCTATTCAAATGTATGTTATGTTGAACTTTGTAAACCGGATTAGTTTACCAAGCTTCTGTGCTTATCCTAGGTAAGATGGCTCCAAGAAACCATGACTATATATGGCTTTTAGTTACGAGTACGATTAGGCTAGCATATTGCAGCAAAAGGTTATGCCTAGTAGCATTATTTACCTATTCAGAAGAGAAGCATCCCACAATCTACAAATTATTTGCGAACCTCATCCAAATGAGTTAACTGAAGTGTGAAAACTATGATGAATGTGAATGCTATATATAGTACCTGGATATCAGCAGCAGATGTGACACTTGAAGAAGCCCAATCTGACAAGTCAGACATTCTTCGCTCCTCTGGTTCTTCACTCTTATATTGAATCACTTCATTTCCATTGGAGCCTGTAGCAAGTATAACAGAGCTACCCTGCTAAAAAAAATCAGTTAATAACCACCCACAAAAGAAAAAAAGAAGCTATAGCATACAACATTGAGAAGTATGATATGAGCTCTTACCACCAGCTCATTAGACAAGCCATCGTGTTTATCACAACGCCAACAACCGCAATCGACAACCTTAATTTTATCAAACCCCAAAGTTTCATTCAACACCAATTCTCCATCATTTGCATATGTCAATGACTGTTCCTCAGTATTGTTTACCAGCTCGCAAAGATTGTCAAGCTTCTCTTGCATACTAGATAGCAGCTGGTCCTGACAAAATTCATGTTTAACGGAATTACACGCATTTTCCCCAATTCAAATAAAAAAAAACGAAACGAAAATCACGATCCTATTACCCTACGATATAAAGCGTATAAAAAATAGGGGTATTACATTGTGAATTGGATCGGTTTTGAAGTAGAAATCATCTGATCGAATTATTTAGGTTTGATCATTTAATCTTTCATTTGTTTTGACTTTTTTTTTAAAATTTCATCTAATCCAATCTAATTTTATTCGATTTGAATCAGATTGATTTTAGGATTTTTGAAAAAGCATAAAATTTCAACAATATAAATCACTGTTATATTGAAATAAAGTCGTACAAAGTTGTAAACCAACGAAAAATTTAGGCCTTCAAACTAAAATAAGTTTTAAAAATCATAAGGAGTAAAAATAGATTAATAGATAATAAAAAATTAAAACAAAATAATTTGCTATCAAGAACATCCAAGATTATAAATCTGTAAAATAACAAAATTTCAAGTATCTTCTTTCAGAAATAATAAATACATAATACATTGATCATTGATCGATTTGGATTAGATTTGCTTTCATTAACCAAATCCAATTAAGATATGTGCTTTTTTTTCTTAGATTTTCGGTTAATTCAATTATTGATTTTTTGATTCTGTCACCACCGTTTGAATAGATTAATGAATAATCTAATAAAAAAAATAGAGAATAATAGGAAGATTTAAAAAAAATAAATTAATTTAAAATAAAAACAACTTCTCTGGAAGTCATTGTAACAAACATACCCTTAGTTGTAGGGATTTCTTGAGTTGCGATATGCGGTGGGAACGTGCAATGGCGACGCCAATGACTGCGACTATTAGGAACCTGTGGATGGGAGTGAAGAGTTCCCAAGCCACGGCTTGCTCTGCGGTTAAGCCACCGAAGGTGACGGCGGAGCTGGCTTCTTCGGCGTTAACTGGCCGTCCCTGCAAGGAAAACCAAGCCATTGCTGGTTTTTTGGGGCGGCACGGCTTGACAACGGTGGTGGAGAGGGAGAAGCGTCGCAAGGAGACAGAAGGCAGGGACGACGGAGAGAATGGAGCAAGAGATACGGTAAGTGGAGGTCCATGTGATTGTGCTGCAGCTTCATCATCCATTGTTGCAGACACAGACAAAAGTTTGGTTTTGGTGCTTTCAAATTTTCGGGTTTCAGAGGGAAATGAAAATCACACGCACACGAGGACAATTTTGTAGTGGCGAATTCAGTTTTTTGGGTTTTGTTTATTTAATTTAAAATGCATATGAATTTAGCACTTTATAGTTTGACTCGATTTAAGCGAATATTAATTAATTTTCTTTTTTCGTTATGGTCAAATGTAGGTTATTTATGCTAGAATTAAATTGTTCACGAAAATTGCGTGTAATAAAGCTATATTATCGGAATAAATTGTAATCATAGAAGTAGAAATTAATTTGATTGCCTATTAAGTCTTATATTAAGAGCCTGATTTCTTATTATTATTATTATTATTTTGAAAAGTTACAAGTTAAAAATTTTAAAAAAATTTACAACTGTTTTTGATGATTATATGATTTTTTTTTAACTTAAAAGTTACTTTCGATCTAAGGTATAAATAAGTTATTTGATAAAATAGTTTGTATAAACTCTAAAGGGCTTTTTGACCCTTTTGCCCCTCATTAATTAATTAATAACCAATTTGCCCCTGATCAAGAACTATCCACCAACCTGCTCCCTTTTAGTCGACTACCTTGCTGTTTTAGTCGAGCAAATGGTCAAACTTCAGAAAGTGGACTTCCGCAAATTTAGTCGACTAAAAAATCATCTTAATCGACTACATTTTTGGGATATTTAGTCGACTAAGTATCGATATTTAGTCGACTAAATGTCGACTGAAACCCTATATTTTCCATGTTTTCGGTCTCATTTCGATTGTTGTTGTTGTGTAAACCTAAATAGCTCCCTTTGTTCATGTGTAATCCTCTCAATCCGATTGTATTTCATCCCACCATCTCTACAGACCTAATATTGTGAAATCATTGTCATTGCCCAATTCCAAACCCCAAAATCCGAACCCAAACCCCCAATTTCAGAACCCAAGTCCCAATTTCGTGAGGAAGATGAGCACAAGTCCAAACATGTATGTGACAATGATCTACTATGATGGAAAGCATTATGAAGGCCCCAATGGTGTTCAATTTGAAGGAAAAACGAAAATGTTGAAAATCAAACGGGGCACTACATACAATGAGTTAAAGGAGAGAATTCAGCAAAAATTGGGTTTGCAAGGCAGCCAATGCGTTCAACGGATGATTGCCAGGGTAGAGACAACAGTTGGTAAGGATGTTATTTACTACATTGGTAACGATATATGTGATGATGAAGATGTCGAATGTGTCATAGATGCAATTGTTGACCGAAAATTTCAAAATTTTATTGAGATATATGTTGAATTAGATTGTGGTCAATCTTCATCTGCACTCATGCATACAAGAAGTGAACCGTATTTTGGTCATGAAGAAAGAGTAGTCGATTTATCTGCACCTGCACATGTCATAAGTCAGATAACACTGCGGGAAATAGATGAGGATGAACAGGATGCCGATATGGACAGCGATGAGGACGGTGAACCTGAGAGTGTTATTCCACTAGGTGACACGTCAGATACTGACGTAGAGGGTGATTTCAACGCTGACACAAGCTCACCATCCCCGGGTTCGCAGGTTACGAGACCACTTCGTGTTGACCCTGTTAGCAGTGGTAAGATTTGTTTTTTAAAGATTTAATTTAGCAATTATTTTTTTTGTTATGAATGGTATTGACGGTGGCATTATAATGCATCCGTAGGTTCTGAGGTCGAGCCATTTTGGAATGAAAGCTCACATTATACCTTCATTAATTGGGCCCACCCTAATGATGAGACAGAGATATTGTATGGTGACGATGATGATCACGGTGGCTGGCAATTAGGGGATCCTTTATATTTGTATCAGGAGTTTCGTAGCAAATCTGAAATGCAACATGCAGTCAAATTATATTGTATGAAGGCTCACCGTACTGCCGTTGTGGCAAAAAGTGATGACCATAGATTTGTGATGAAGTGTCGACACCATAATGATGGATGTCCCTGGTATGTGAGGGCATTGTTGCCGAAGAATGGAAATACTTGGGTGGTTAGTAAATGGGTTAAAGAACACACCTGCCTAAACCAAGGTCTTACCCGGGATCATAGACAGTTGCATTCTGATGTGATATGTGCAACCATTATCAGTATGTATTATTCGATATATCTAACTTCCTAAGGTATGTTAACGTTAATCAGTTTGTATTCTGACTGTTGGCCGGTGTTTTTTTTTATATAGGTATGTTAAAAGAAGATCCATCATTGAAGCCAGTTCTTATTCAAGAGAGGGTACAACGTTTGTATGGATACAACATATCTTACAGGAAAGCTTGGAAGGCTAAAATGAAAGCCATTGTCAAGTTATTTGGCGACTGGGATAAATCGTATGCATTCTTGCCTGGTTGGCTGACATACATGACGCAGGTTAATGTGGGTTCTGTGTTCAAGATTGATACAGACCAATGTGTTGATGAACGTCGAGTGTATACGGATAAGGCTGTCTTTCACCGAGTATTTTGGACCTTTCACCAGTGCATTGAGGCCTTCAAATATTGTAAACCCATAATCCAAATTGATGGCACGCATTTGTACGGTAAATACAAAGGAACTCTTTTGATTGCAACTTCACAAGATGGAGATGGTTACATTCTCCCTATTGCATTTGCTATTGTTCCTCCTGGTGAGAGATTGGATGATTGGTCGTGGTTTCTTAGCCTCATGCGTTTTCACGTCACACATAAGCATGGCATTTGTCTAATATCCGATCGTCATCCCAGCATCATCAGGGCTGTAAGAGATCATGCCGGTTGGCAGCCACCATTTGCGTATCATGTGTTTTGTCTACGCCACATCGGAAGAAACTTTAACACTAAGTTCAGAGATGTGGAATTAAAGAAAACCCTGATGAAGCTAGGTACAATCTTCTTTTTAATATGTACAAATTGTATATAATTCATCCTTTTGTATCTAACGCATCATTTTGTATTTCAGGGTACTTGAGTTCAAAGATTCATTTTGATATCAGATTCCAGGATTTTATCGACAGTAACCCTCAAGTAGCTTCATGGATAGATCAGATTCCCAAAGAAAAATGGTGCAGGTCTTACGATGAGGACGGTCGGAGGTTTGGTCACATGACGACTAACTTATCTGAGTGTGTGAATAAGGTCCTGAGGGGTGCACGTAATTTGCCTATAACAGCATTGGTGAAGATGACTCAAAGTAGACTTGTTGAGTATTTCGTCAAGAGACGTGAAAAGATCCAAAAGGCAAAGGCAAAGGGTTGGAGAATTGCAAAAAAAGTTGAGGATATCATCCAAAAAAATGATCAATTAACAGTGAGCCTCCGTGTGCGGGTTTTTGATAGGGACCTGCAGCTATTTGAAGTTGAGGATGCCTACAATCAATCAACTCATGATGCAGGTGACATAATGAGGGTGGACTTGCTCAATCGCAAATGTCAATGTGGACGGTTCACATCTAGAAGATTCTCTTGCAGTCATGTCTTAGCGGTGTGCAAGGTAGAAAAGTTAAACCACTATGATTATGTTGATCCTGTGTTCTCAATTGCACAAATTGATAAGGTATATGCTGCTCATTGGTATCCAATGGGCAATGAGTTGTTGATTCCACAAATTGATGGCCCAACCATTATCCCAAATGCATCTTTGGTACGTGCACAAGGAAGACCCAAATCGTCAAGGATACAGAATGAGATGGATTGGGTTGAGTCTCAACCGACAAGCAGTCAGAGTAGATGTAGCCTGTGTAAGCAAATTGGTCACAACAAACGTACATGTCCTATGAGGATTCCCAATACAAGATGAATTGCGGAGGAAGCAGGGGAAGGGCTTAATGTTTTGATGGTTTAAC